TATCTTGAAATGCATCACCCCTCAAGGTACTATCCCTTCTTTTACTTCCAAAATTGAGGTCTGCTTTTAAGTCCTTCACTTTGCTGTTACATTTATTCGCTAATATATCACACATAAAAAACAAGCAAAAGGAAATTATAACTGAAGGACCATACTGAAATGCTCCATTTTCAAAGTTCCTGTTTTGTAAGAATCAAGCCCATTTGTACTGATAGGTTTATTTTAGTGTCAGCCTCTTGAAATATGTTTTATATTGCAAGAGCTAAGTTGTGATCATACATTTTTTTCCACTGTAGGTAAATCAATTTCGATTTATGTTAATTTCCCTTTCTCTGGCACCTTAAAGGTATTTTTTTACAGGTACCTATGCCAAAAATTATCGAATATTTTTTGAAATAAATACCTATGAATGATTTATTGTGAAATGCTCTCCCATATATTGTGCTAGACCTAAGTATTTTCTTTTTTTATCATCAATTTGTACCCATTTGTGATCAGTATTTCTCTTGTATATCCATCATTGAAAAGGTTTTCTAGCAAGCATATAAGACACGCATCAAAGCCAGTCTTCAGTTTTTAGTAAGAGAAAGTTGTGCCATTACCAGGTTACTTTGAAGAAATGGCAAACACAATTTTGTTTCCTGTCTGATTGCAGGAAAAATGAGTTTTCAGGTTTGAGCATGCATTGTAAAGCTGTTGAAAGCTGTCGAGCTCATTTGTACTAAACCTGGTGGGTTCACCTTCGCTTCAACAAGAAAAATAAAGAAGACACTAAAAAAGATCATTTTTTTTTATGTAGGGTTTCTTGAAAAAAAAAAAAAAAAACAATTCAAAAGTTTATCTTTTGTCATTGAATCATGATGTTGTTTTTAAAAGTGACCCCATTGGCAAGCATATTACACTCCTTCTGATATCAGCTACAGAAATTAATTAATGAATGTTTTTACCTGTAAAAATTTCCCCATTTTCCTTTTTTCCTAATTTTCGCACCTTTTCAAGAATTTTTTTTAAAAGGAAAACGAAACAAAGCAGAAGAAACCAGTTTACTTGCTGTAAGTTGAAGTAAAAATGTTTTGAACAATTCTTGAGCTGCTGTCCCACGAGCAGTTCCGACTGTACGGTCTGACAGGGTATGCATGCGCACAGTCCGTACAATCAGTAAAGGGCCACTGCCAACTGTTCATTTAGCCCATGAATGTCATTTATTGTATAATCGGACTACTTGTGAAATAGCAGCTTCGATGGGTATGAGACAAAAATACTCAACTTCACAAAATCTTACGTGAAATTTACCATATTATTTTCTTTTTTGGCATTTCTTTGTGCCTGTAATTTATTACCTTATTTTCCCCCAATTTTGTTCTGGTTTAGGTAGGGATAAAATTTCGCAGCTGTATCAAAAGGAGCCTCTTTTTCCAACTAGGGTTGTCTCAACTCCCTTTCTGAATCACTTTTTTCCCCTAGAAAGTTAATCATTTGCCGATTCTTCTCACTCTTGCTATGCTCGTTACAAGAATTCAGTTCTTTTGTCTTAATGGTGCGATGGCTCATCCTGTTAAACATTGCAAGGAAAAATTGTCAATTTTTGAATAGAGGCTGTCATGTCAAATTCTGCCTTTAACTTGAAATCATCTCTACGTTTAATTTTTCCACCAAAAAATGATGATGACAAGAAGTGCTGGTTCATTCTACCTTCTCAACTCAAATCAGGTAAAAAATTAGACTTATTGAAGTCTGAGTTTAATTCAAAACAATCTCAAGAAAAGAAGATTTGGTTGGAGATTTTGCAATCCTTCTCATAAAATTGAGATCTCCTTTACTTTTTGTGGAGTTTTACTCATCTATACATTGTCTCATGTTAAAAAGTAAAATTTCATCTCCTCTTAGTATTGAATAACAGATGCCATGAAACTCATAACGTCATGAAAACATCATATTTAGAGCTATTAAAGCTTTTAATTTTCTTTGAAAATATTATTTACTCACGTAAAATTGTTTTCAAGTAATTGACGTGTTTAAATATATCCAAGTGTTTTGGAAAAGGTTCTCAGTTCATTGTTTCTTGTATTGATATCATTCTACTGAGATAATTTTGCCCTACTTCTATTTCTACAACTTGGCAGCTAGTGACCGTGCTTCCACTCTGTGAGTCAGTCACTGATCATATTGATATCAACGTTTTATTGTAAGTCTGTTTTAGTGATTCAGAGCAGTTAAGTAAGGCTCAAAAGTACTGTGAAAAGTTAAGTTGTATGAAAGAAGTGACCTTATAAGAACTTATTTAAAGTACCTACTTAATAATTGAAACGTTAATCCAATAAACTTCTGTTTCTTTCATTACCTGGATAACTTCTTTTTGTTTTTCTTAAAAAAAATTTGCCCTGTGTTGCACCTTGGTGTAAAGAGCGACGCCAAGAATGGCACAATTTGGGCCAGAAGGGATTTTTCTGAAACCGGGCCCAAACGATACCTTACGATACCCTAAAACTCTGGTTAAAATTTTAGCTTGAGTATACGCACGGTTTTTGAGAAATGAGGGGGCAAAGTTGCCAAATCGCCATCATTCTGGACAGCATTTCTACAGCAAAAAGACGAGAAAAATGGACGAAAAAGTTACACCTTTGATGGGTTTGAGCTGTAAATGTTCTCATTGGGCCCCCAAGCATTAAACTGTGTTCAGTTTCAAAAATTTTGGTCGCACAGTGGTCCAAAATGGGGAGAAATCGTCGACAAATCAGGATTCTTGGTCAATTTTTTAGAAATGGAAGTAAAATTGTCGGTCTGCTGCAGTTTTCATGGCTAACAATGTTCTTATCGGTCATCAATGCATGAAATTGTGTTCAGCTTCACAAATTCACGTCGCACAGTGGTCAAAAATGGGGGAATTAGTGGACAAATTAAGATCCTCTGTCAAACTTTTTAAAAATGAAGTGAAACTGTTGGTCCCCGGTAGACTTTAGATCCCGGAAAAATCATGTTTTTAATTTTTTAAATTATTACTACATTTCAGACCGTATTGTTTATAGAACATTGTTACAGAATAGACTTTGTAGCATTATCTCAATAAAATATGCAAACTTTCAGAAATTTAAAAAAAAGAAGGAAAAATGGAGGGAAAACATTAAAAAAATATTTAAATAGTCTAAAAAAGAATTTAAAGAATTTTTCCGGGATCTAAAGTCTACTGGGGACCAACAGTTTCACTTCATTTTTAAAAAGTTTGACAGAGGATCTTAATTTGTCCACTAAATCCCCCATTTTTGACCACTGTGCGATGTGAATTTGTGAAGCTGAACACAATTTCATGCATTGATGACCGATAAGAACATTGTTAGCCATGAAAACTGCAGCAGACCGACAATTTTGCCTCCATTTCTAAAATTTTGACCAAGAATCCTGATTTGTCGACGATTTCTCCCCATTATGGACCACTGTGCGACCAAAATTTTTGAAACTGAACACAGTTTAATGCTTGGGGGCCCAATGAGAACATTTACACGAAACCCATCAAAGGTGTAACTTTTTCGTCCATTTTTCTCGTCTTTTTGCTGTAGAAATGCTGTCCAGAATGATGGCGATTTGGCAACTTTGCCCCCTCATTTCTCAAAAACCAAGCGTATACTCAAGCTAAAATTTTAACCAGAGTTTTAGGGTATCGTGAGGTATCGTTTGGGCCCGGTTTCAGAAAAATCCCTTCTGGCCCAAATTGTGCCAAAAAACGGTCGTTTTTGGCGTCGCTCTTTATGAGATGATCAAAAAGAAATTGCTGATCTGAGGTCTGAGATGCATTCTCGCCTAAGGAAGCTGTCATGATAATATTTTCACATTGGAGGCTGCAACAGGTACACCTTTTTTGGGTTACAGGATATTTCTTCAACGTATTTTTGTCTGTGCACCTGTTTCTTCTACTAGTTAACGTCCACGCGTTTTTTTGGCAGGGATATTTTGGCCCACTCACCAATTGAGACCCAGAATTAATTGGTCTACATGTAAATACAAACAACAATTGAATCAGTGAGTTCGAAAACACACCAACTCGGAAAAAAAATTGTTAAGGAAACACCTAAAACTGAACAGCGGGCGAAGAAGTTAGTTTAAGAAAAACCTCTTGGTGCCACAGGACAAGTACTTAGAGACTTTGTAGAGCACCGAGTTGAAATCGATACACCATGTTTGATGAAGCGTTTAAAAATTTCCGAGTTGATGTGTTCTCGTTCTCACCGACTTTCAGATACTGATTTTTCACAGTCTGCCCGGTAAAATGTATATTTTTTGACCTGAATAACGCTTGAATATTTATATAACTTGCTGGTACAAGGTACATACCGAACCGAAAAAAGAAAACCGCAAAATCGGATGGTCACCCGTTTCCCTTGAAATGGACAAGAATTGGTATTTCCAATGAAATACTTCGATTCTTCCCTTTTCCCGTCGCTGTTTCGAGCACTTCCAATTGCAATTTCGAAATTTCCTTTTGCGTACAGATGCTTTTATCCATAAGTGTTACTAAACCGTAAAAAAGTGAAAATCGAAAAAAACCCGAGTTGGTGTGTTTTCGAACTCACTGATTCAATTGGGCATGACGTTTTTGGATGGAAAATGTGTAATGTCTTGGAAAAATGAAGGTTTGCTTTTTTTTTGTTAGTTTGGTCCAATGGATAAAAATACGTCATTGAGATTTTGGTAAAAATGGGGATTGTCAGTTCCATGAGGGGAAATTCACTAAAACTCTCCACATCTTTTTGGTGCCACAGGACTTAATTTTCTTTCAAGAAACTGCCATCTTCTTGTACCTACCCGAGCCTGATAAACCTTTTGATTTGCCTCAGCTAAAATAACATTTTGCCTTAATTTCTATCTGAGGCAGATTAAAGAAAATATTTGACCGATACTAACATTAATAATCATAGGAAATGTTCATGTTTTTTTTCCCTCCTTACTGGTGGATGCTGACATTTTCATGAACAAGGCCAAGATAAAGTAAAATTCTAAAAAGAGCCTGACATATTGAAACAGATTTTATAAATGTTATTACATTATCATACATAAGTTTACATGTTATTTTAAATATATACCATATAATACACAAAAGTGTACATCTATTTACAGGTATGATACAGACATCAAGGGTACAGTATAGTCCAACGGTGGGTACACCTATTGCAAAGTTCCATAACTGAAAAAGAGGAAACTTTGAGAGATGAATACTCTTTCAGAAGCCCCCATCCTTATCTTTTGATACCATGAAGACAACATGCTGCATTGAACAGCCTTTGACTTTGCATCTAAACTATTTAAAGGAAAAAACAATAAGTTGTTGGCTTCAGAATCATCACCACAAGGACCATTTTAAACATCATGTATCTTCTGGGGCCGCAGCTCTTAGATATACTTAGATATTACTTAACAGAAAACGGGCAATAACGGAGGCCAGTGACTGTATAAAATATTCAAAGGTTAATGGAGATTTAATTTATTACTATGACTGTAGGTAAACATAACGCTTAAAAAAATGGTAGAAAGAAACTGCATACCATATTTACAAAAAAAAAACCACTGATTCAACCAAAAATTTAAAAAAAAACTGATTAAACATGACAGAACACCTTCAAACCAAAAATAGAGACAAGACTTTAGCTAGGTTCAATATCTTTGCACTTCGAAGTGAAATAATGAAACCTATCTACTATAAAGTAAAGTGGCAATAAAGCCAATAAAGCTGAGAAGAGACACCAATTCAGTAATGAAAGACAGAGAATAACTGACGAGCAGTTAAGATCACAAAAGACGTAACCCATTTCATGACAAGAAGTAGAACCTGAGACATGTCTGATACAGTAAATTTTTACTTTCTTCGTAATCTACATTCATTTGTCTTTATTAAATTTAATCCTTGCTTCATCTACACAAACAGACAGGATTACAAAGATTTTCTCTAAAGATGAAGGATTTGTGACACGATTAGGATCTTGTGGACTTTTTGAATGAATTCTCTCATAAGCTTGATCTGACTGTTTTAGCCCTTGCACAGTTCTAAAAATATTTAGTTCTGTCAGAAATATCCTCAATCTGTTTTGGAATAGCTTTCTAGTTTAGCATGATGGTTATTCGGATATTATTTTGTATACTTCTAAGAAAAAGAGGCTTGATAGCTGATATTTTCTAAAAGACCATCAGCAAGCTTCAAGATTTTTCATTTTTGACGACATCCTGCTTAGATAAAGAGACTATTGATCAGGTTCTTCCTGGCAAATAAAGGACCTTGTACACCAGTGGGAGCTTACTCTCTCTTGGTGCATTTTGATGAAACTTTAATGGTTTATTATAAGGTTTATCATTAGGTCAAAGCCGAAAAATCAGAGAATTAGTTCAGGTATGAGCAGAGATATTTGCAATTGAGCTTGTCCTTTACTTTCTAACACACTAATGTGCAGCTGAGGAATTAAGAGTCTTCCCCCTGGTTGTTTGGCGATCTTGCCCAGACCTCCTATGCAGTTAGGTGCTTACCGGCTGTCCCCCAACAAACACTGTGCCCATTTCTTCCTAGAATTTATCAATTCTACTTCGAAATATTCATGCCATTTCATATGATTCTCCTCTACTCAGCATCTTTCCTAATTTAGACTCTCTACGCCCTTTTCAACACACGGGGTTAACCGGGAATAGCTCCGCTTCTGTGTAAACAAAATTCCTAAATTTTACGCTATTGGCTTAGTGATGAACTGTCCGTTTAAGTAGCCATCAAAACGTACTGAGAGCCATTAAGCCCCCGCTGGTGCGCAGGGTTCTTTAAATATTAAAAACTTAAAAGTAAATCAGAATGCTGATAGAATTTGAAAAAAGTATGAAGCATTTTTACTTAACTTAGGTAATTCAAAATTACAACCATAACCTGTAGAGCGAAATAGGTATTCCTAGGTTATATACCTCCATACATGAGACAATAATTACAATAACACAAAGATTACAAAAGAACATTTGAGACATGGAAAAACTTACAACAATTAGCACCAATTATTTTATTTGTCACAATATGTTATGATGTGGCAACCTCTCCCGCGATAATTCAGTGGGATTTTTAGAAGCACTCCAAACCTTTGCATCAGAACGTTATTTACGAAAAAAAAAAAATGAATAAAAAAAACAATGAAATGTCCAGGAGTGGAAAAGAGGTTACAGTAAAATTATGTGAGAGAAATAGCATTAAAAACAACTGTTTCAACCATAATACTTGCATATAAAAAAATGTCTGCATTTTAGCTCTAAAAGCGTACGTATAAAAAAGAAGAAAAATAAGGGAGACACCAATTAACATTTCATTTAAAAATAAATTGACTAAAATTTGTTTACGTCCAAAATAGAAAGAAACTACTATTGAGAACATGAGTATGAGCTAATCATTCCTTGAAGAAAATTCAAAGAAACATTTAACACGTTCTCTGTTACTTCAAACTGTGTGGTTTCAGCAAGAATAAAGCTGAAAATAGTGTCAAGATATGAGTTGGGTTCTACTGAGAATAGAGTTTTAAAAAAAACCCAACAAATATGAGAATGATTTGATTGATAAAATAACTTTGCAACTAATAATGAAAAGTCTTGAGTTGACTAAACACCCATAGGTAGAGATTCGAACTGGAAAAGAAAATTTCCGTAAGAAACAAAATGGGGAACAAAAATCCAAACAGAAATGTTGGTTGCCAGAGGATCCTAAAAAGCACCCTCCATATTGCTTCAGAAAACTTGAAAAATTGTACAATGAAAATTAACAATGACTTGAAATATCATACGGCTTTCCCATGAAAGCATTAACATAAATAAACAAGTAAGTAACTTGAGGATGGACAACTTTTCTAGATAGGCAAAACTTGTGGACCATGTGATACAAAAAATAAATAAAAATCTTTGACTAACAATAATGATGAGAGGTATGACTAGCAGTTCCTTAGTCTCTGGTAGATTTTAAATGCTTTTTTGTTTCTTCTCGGACAAGCATCACCATCCGTAGAACCAAAACTGCAAGAACTTTGTCCAAAGGATCAAGAAATCCTCGCTGCATCCACTTAGGAATCGTTGTGCGAGCATGGGCGAAACCAAGCTTCTGAAGTATGTAATCAACTCCGTAAGGCTCTATACTTTTTCCTCCCCAGGATAATAACCTGTAAAATGAAAAAAGACATCAAAGCACAAAAATCTTTGGAACGATGCAGTGCATTGATGAGTGCAGGACTGAAGGAACGTGTTTAGACAACATGCAATTTTTCTGTAAAAATTGGAGACATGATACACCACTTATCATAGCGCTGCTGACGTAGCTTAAATCTTTGAAAATAGGGAAAGTCAAGCACCTTTTCATTTGAATCAACACCTACCAGTTTGTGAAATAAATAACTTTTGCAATACTTTTTATGTTTTATCAAGGACTTCATCATTGCAATTATCTTAGTTTTCAGGGTAGAATCGGCCGGTAGCACACTCTCCTGCCTCCGTATCACGTATTTCATGATAATTGAAAAGCTCCTTACAGTAAAAGGCATTATCAATTTTATTTTATATTGTCCTGACCTATCATAGAACTTACCTAACAGTTGGCTCTAAATGCCATGTTTTACAGTTGAAATTTCGCCAGTCTTTCGTGAAAATATCGCCTGAATGATCTGCAGACTGCTGCTTCTTTAGACGGTCTTTGGGAGTTGAAGTTACAGGTTCTCCACCCTGAGATTTTCCGCTGCGATCAGATAGATCCGGGCTGTGAGCCGGACCACTTCCTGACGAGGCCTGGAAAAAAGAATTGAGAGCAGGCACCTTCAATTGGACGCACTTACAGATTGAAAGAGAAATAGATTACAATTAGATTTGAAAGTGGTGCCTAACCATACAACAGAACAGATCATCTCAGTCAGTGGAGACCAGATATAACATGGATATTCAAACTTTGCAGATAATTAGTCAACACCCTCAGATAATTGAAGCTGGGCTTTACTTGTTATTTTCTTATTGATTTGTAAGCTGATTGAAAAAAAGAACTCAGGTCTAAACAGTTTATTCATGGGAGGAGGGAAGGGGGGCTCCTCATCGAATATAATTTGTGCCGGTAGTGCATCCACGATGGAAAATAAGTCTATTTTCCAATGGATGGTGTTCACTTGCACAAATTGCTCTACTGAAACTTTCAACGCTTGCTATTTGTGAACAGCTGGACAGATTGCACTCAAAATCATTCTACCAGCCCGATTGGTTTAAATCTACTCAAGTACAGGGACAAAATTATTAAGAGTAGTGATAGAATGTGTAACTTCAGCACTAATGTGAAAAAACTGGGGGTTGCCTACCATCATGTCAGTGATCTGAAATTATTTCCTCAGATTTTGAATTTATTTCCATATTATTACGCCCCATCATTACGCCCATATTTTATACCTATGGATGCATATGATAAGTGCACATAAATCAGGATGAGAAAAACCGAAATAGCTATCATATAGTAATCTACAGCTCAAGACTGGTACGTTTTGGAAGTACCCAACTTCGAAGTGATAGCAGAATAGCTTAAAGTGGTGTATTTGCCTTCGAAAAATACACTGAAAATAGATGCAACAAAAAAATCTTAAAATTGATACGGCTAAAGGAGCTATTAGTAAGGCAGAGTGAATTAACAAAAAAAAATACGAATAACAGATCTAAAATTTGGTACAAATAACTGGAAATCAGTGAAAAAAATAAAGACTAAATGTAAGACAATTGTCAAGTCTTCTGATAAGTCTTGAGGAATGAGCCACTTACCACTCTATCGTTTTCTCTGATATAAGAGGTTATTAGATCATGAAGAAAGAAGAATGCCTCTGCATCTACGGTTACAAAGATGTGATCTTCAAACTCAGTGATGAAACTGCACTCCACTGTAGGTTTAACACCTGCTCAAAAGCAAAACAAAAAACATAAACAATGAACAGAGCAAGCAAGTCAACTGTTTTTACTCAGAATAAACTCTACTATGTCTACGGAAGCAACTGCTGTGGTGCAATTACAGAGGCTAACTAATTAAGGCTTACTAATTAGACCTTTTCAACATTTTTTCTTTCTTTTAAATCTATTCCTTCTATTTTGTAAGATATGACCACTAAATCTTTTCTTTCTATCAAGTAATATGAGGCCACTTTAGATCCACCTATATTGTGAGCCTTATGGGTTCCATTGTTGTGCTATGGACACAAATGATTCTTATGATCAGTCTATGTATGATATTATTGTGATTAAAAAATAATTGTGAATACAACTCTTGGGGCTGAAAGAGAGCTGCATGATGAAAGAACGAGAGCTAAGTGATAAACACTGACCAGAGACATCAGGAGTCATGGCTGCTTGAAGATGGTTGGTTTCTAAATGCAACTGAAGAGAGGGTAAAGCAAATATAACTTCACGAGTATGATTGGGTGGGTCCTGTGATTTTGGGGTTCTAGAGCGAATAGTCTCCCCACTTGAGTCAGTTTTTTCTCTCTCAGAGACAGGAAATCTGTCTACAGCTGCAACAAAAGAAAGTGATGATTAAATTTGAAGAAACAGGTGAGAAGTCCTGCTTTTAACATAGAGCGCGAAGGACATTCTTAACTGTGCCTCTCAATATTATATTTCATTTTATTCAGTATAAATTGGTACAAAAAAACAATAATTAATATTATGGCACAAGTAGAAAGTTTACAACTGTTTATGAAAAGTTAATTATTTAAAATTCATGTAGGATGAGGCAGGCTTTGGTAAATTAATAGATTTTTGGCTTTGCTTAGAAAGGCTTTACTCTCTTCGATTTCTTTGATTGATTTTGGCAGTTTTGTCATAAGGTTTAGCTGGTAGCAAACACAGGGTACTGCAAAATCTGGTGAATTTAACAGAGGACTATTCCACATCGCTATTACTCAATCCTTTCCTGTCACTCAGTTATTTTTAGAAAAAAGTTGGAGCCAAAAAATGTAGCCTTTTTGGAAATTCAAACACCAGAAAACACTTATTTTGTGTTCAAAGTAAGCCAAAAAGTCTGGAAACAAAGAGATCACCCTGAAAATGTTAAGAAATAATCCTCTAAAATTTTTCAATTTTATTAATACCTAACATAATAATTTCTTCTTAAGCGAGTCAAATGATGCTCCATTTTAAAATTCTCAAAATAACGGCTATCAATGAGCCACCTATTATTTTCAATTCTTTTGGAGAAAAACAGCTATTTTTGAATACTATTAAAATCCAGTAAGGATAATTACCATCTATGTCAGACACGGCAAAGGCATAATGAAACCATTCATGTAGGGTTCTGAACTGAGGAGGGAAAATTTGATTTCGACTAACACGACAAACCGTGGCCATACTATGGTGAGTTTGGGCATAATGCTGGCCGGGAGCCATTCCTAAACTAAATGTTAATGTTTCGACGACGTGAACATCCAAGGATTCTTTAGTATCACCTGTAGCACAGAAAATCATGGAAAGTGTTAGTTAAATAATTAACTTAGGTTATCAATTTCAATGCACTCTCTGACCTTTCTTGAGTGATTGTTCCCGTTTGGCTAATTTTATAAACAAAGAGTAGTTCTTTTGATGTACTAAAAGTGATACCTCCAAGCTCATAACTTGAGCAAAAATTAAGATTTTGAGAGAAACTGAGAACACTTTTAAATTAGACAAGATTAGTTTTCGAGCGGTCTATTGAACTTAGAATTATGTCAATTCATGATGTTACAGTGTTACAGTGTTACAGTGTTACCAAATGCCCAAGTATGTTTTTACTACAGGCTGAAGGACAATTTTGCGGTTGGTAAATTGCTTCACTGTGAAGCTAAGACTAATGCAACAGATTTTGAGAAATCTCATCGGATTTTGGAAAGACAGAAAGGTCAACTTAACCATGCTGAAAACTGTTTTGACCGAGTACTTCAGTCCAAAGTAATTGCAAGATGATGAAATTCAAGGTTTCTCATCACATTAAAATGAGAGGTAAAATCCTACTCTTTTTATTTCCCACTATTACAAATTTTGGCATGAGACAGTCACCCTCAAAAGATAATTTCATCAATATTTTTGACACCAATAACATTTAATTCCTGCCTTTGAAAACTGATGCAGGTGCAAAATCTTTAACAATCAATGATTAAATCATCCTTTTTTAAAAAAAACATTACTAAATTACTTGACTCCATGATCTTGCAATAACTTTAGACTAAAATATTCAGTTAAACCAATTTTCGGCAGGTTTACAACTGACCGTTTGAGCTGCACTGAAAATTAACAATTTTTTTCAAAATCTGTTGCATGAACGTAGCTTAACAGTGCAGTAATTTGGTAGCTTAACAGTGCAGTCATGCAATTTTCCTTCAACCTGTCGTAAAAACATGCTCCAACATTTTACAACACTGCAACAACAAAAATTGAGATAATTCAAAATTTAAACGACCATAACGAAGCTACACCTAGCTTACACCTACTTGAAAGATCTTCTTAGTTTCTACTGATATGTCAATTTGTTTTCAGGTAAAAAGCTTGGAGGCATTACTTTTCAGCCTAATCTTGTATCTCAAATCTAACTCTACAGTTTCAGTGCAATCGTAGGATCTCACTAGAACTTTTTATTATACAATTTTGTGTTATGATGCAACTTCATAACCTGAAAAGTTGTAGATCTAATTTAAATCGAGCTGAGTCTTAAAACGAAATTATTTTAGCCAGGTATGAAGAAAATTTTGTTATCAGACACAAAAAATCATGCTCAGTGATAGAGATGATTTGCTCCGTTTGTAAGTAAGACTACAAGTCCGTACAGCATCAAGCAAAGTTCTTTTGTTCATTCTAGAGACATTAGGAAGCAAATTTTTGAGAGATACAAAGAGAGATTGAATACTTACAACCACTGGAGCTGACTTCTTGCGCCTCTGTTGAAAAGGAGATGCAGGGTTCTTTGAGCGAGAACAAAGCCCATGACTTGGACTTGAAATTGATGCCATGAAAACATGCCAAGGAAATGTTATTGCCATGAAGATCCATTGTGCCCCCGAGTAAGGAGCCCCATTCAGGAAGCGGATGGCGAGAAGTTGATAAATTGAGTCCAGCCGCAACTTTTAGAACAGGCTGCCAATGACGGTGATGACGTGCCCAGAATGGAGTCAGATCTACAAATGAGATGAGAGGGTGAAATAAATGGTGAAAAGGAGAGCTAGTATGTTATTGGCAAACAGGTTTTAAAACATGGCTTAGAATATTCATTCGCTGGAATAAAGAAATAAATATTTGAGATTCTCTTCTAACAAGGGAGGACTAGAGTACCTGTATACAGGAGAGAATTGCCATCTCTGTGCCGCTCTCTGATTGGTTCATCAGTTTTAGGTTATTATGGAGCTCCAAAATTGGACCAATGTTAACAAACCCAATCCAGAGGAATACGCATTATTGGCTGAGAAATGAATGATAATCACACTCAAAGGTTAATTTTCGGCAAAAATATCCATTAAAGGTCGATCCGAACTCGATTCAGAAGTTGATCATAAAAAAATTTCTATCACATCCAAAATCACGTTTAGCACTTTGCAGAACTTTGTTGCCATCTTGTTAGTTTACATTGGGTCAAACTAGGAATGGAGGAGCTGGGGTTTTTTTACATTGGTCCAACTTTGGGGCTCCATGATAGACAACCAATGAGAGAGCGGCACACTTTTTCTGTAGTAAAAGGATTGAGATGGCAATACCCTCCTGTATACCGGTACTCTAGGGAGGACTGCTGAAATAATCAGATAAAAAAGTTAGTGTACACCTCATTAGAGTCCTTTCCAAATAAATTTACGCACTTTTAGACTGTAACGGAAGATCATATGACGTCAGTTTAGCATTGACAGTTTATGTGAGAGTCAAGATGGCGGATCTTCTGTCGCAGCCTAAATATGCATAAAATTAATTGGGCGTGGGTGTGAATACATAATTAAGTATTTATAATTATTATAATCTATTATATTTTTTGGAACTTTTTGGCTTTGATTTCCCCGCGAAATGGTGTGGACCCAGCACCATTTCTCCATCTTGTACACAGGTTTTTACCATACGCTGTTCAGAGACTGTCCCAGAGACAGCGATTCACATTTAGCTTAAATTTAGATCGATGAGGTGAGTTAAGTTTAATGAAAATATGAAATTTTGTGTATTATTACATTTATGACTCAATAAATGTCAGTCTATGAGCTCTTGAGAAAATTACTAAAAGTATACTCACTGTCTGGTGCTATATGCACAGGCTTTTTCTTTCCACTAGTCCTTTTGGAGTAGGAAAGTGTATTAGGTCGAACCCTGGGATCTGTTTGTAGGTTGGAAAAGACTCGTTTACTGGATTTAAACTGCTGAGAGAAGAACTCTTCCAATTTATAGTACATTTTCATTAGGTCAGTCGTGGTTGATTTTGAGATCATTATTTGAAGTTGATCCCAGCCAAGGTCTCCATGCATGAAAATTTGTGCAGGCCTGTAAAGACAAGCGAAAATGAAATAAGTAAGGAAGAAAAAAGAATATTAGCACTGGTAAAAATCACTCCCCGAATTTTTTATTTTTCAGGATAGTTAACCTTGAAAAATATCAGCGATTCTTTACATTCTGTTATTTTAGAAGTTTGCTGAAGTCTGATCAAATCTGTTTTCAAAATGGATCAGGTACTTCCGGCCCGATTATATATGTTGCTTACTTCTACTTAGATGATTAATTTTACCCAAAGGAATTGTGTGTTGAAGTCAATAGCCCATTACTCCTCAAAGCCTCAATTGTATTGTGTGAATTCATAAAATAAAGTTCATGCATTGTATTCGCCCGATTACGATTGTTGCTCTACATGCATCAATACTGAGACCAAGGTTGAAGAGAATGAAGTATGAATAATGCAAAAGAAGACATCATCTATCATGTTACTAAAAAAATAACTTCAATAATTTCAATGGCCAAAGAGCGAAACCATATACCTTCGTTTGCAATGTTCCAGATTTCCTGCCATACTCATACTTTTTTTTCTTTGAAAAACTAGCCAATGTAAGTTCTTGAAAACTTGCGTAATTTTTCTCCCTCCTTGGAAGAATATTCTGTATAAAGTTCAAGCTTTAAAGTTGGCTTGTTTTTTTTTAAAAAAAATAAAATGGGAGGAGAAATTTTGAAACACTGCAGTGGAGATACGTGGTTTTGCACTTTGGTCATTGATTTTGCAATGATTGCAATGTACGTAAAAATTTGGTTTCACAATTTGGATGAATACAATAATTTCTACTGATTGGTACGTAACAATCATTGGTAGAAATTTCCGGCAATGGAGATTACAGCAAAAAATCTATATTTCCTTTGAAGAGGCCTCACTAATAAACTTAATCAAAGATATTTGAATTTTCGAGTAATACTGTGACTCACCTTTTTGTTGGATTGAATTTATCAGACGCAAATAATTTCCACTCATCTCTAAGAGAGACATTTAAAGATGACACCCTTGTCATAAGAACTCCAGTGCCCATGTAGTCAAACCTAAGTTCTAACGTTGCTAGGCGAAGGCCTACGGTGTGATCTGGTTCAACTTCTGCATCTTCTCTGATGTGAACTAAAATTGAAGCATCAAGATTATTATGACAGGCGCATCAATTGAACAGAGTAGGCATCCACTTGAATTAAGCTGTTTTGCATCTTGTACCTTTAACATTTATTTGTTTTGAGTTTTCATTTATTACGGTGTGTATGCATTTATAAAACTTGGCTGCATGTCAGTCTATGAATTTTGCTACCTTCAAAACTATATCTGACTCTACTATATCTATATCTACTCTACTTATCCAAAAAATCACTTAAAAGTAATGGAGAGTTGAATTCGATACATTATTACCAAAAAGCAGTGTGATTAAAATAGTAGAGGACCAATTAAAGTTTTCTCGGTTTCAAGTTTTCTTCAGAATCAATTTAAGAAAATGGTAACTTTGAATTACTTAGAAAAAAGTACACACATTTATCAAGTTTAATCTTGAGAGAACTATTTCATGATAGGATATTGTAGTGAATGGAAAAATAATCAAAGAAGCCGATTGAGAATTAGATAGATAAAAAGAAGATTCAAGTGAATAGTTATGATCGAGTGCATTTTAGTCTTGACAGTAAATGACTGCTTCTATACTGTATTCTAAGCCCATTAATGCTCTTTACGCACTTATACAAATTTAAAGAAGAGAATATGAGAATATAATTTACCATAAGTATCAACTTTGCTGAGTTCGATGGTGCCACCAACGATCCCCATTTTTGCATCCAGGCTAGAACCGCTCAACCCTAAGCTAATGAACATGTTTTTGTGACCCGTACTTCCAATTGACAGCCGTCCTTCAGATCGAAATTCTTTGGTCAGCCACCTAGAGGAAAGTGAGGAAGATTAATACAGAAACAAACAAGCAACATTGGCCCAAAAATTTAATGTGCAGTTATTCTGTGAATACAATTTTTATTACCAAAGGATTTACCTTCCTCTTAGAATTGCTGTCTAGAAATATTAGAGCTATTTACTTTCTAAATGAAATGCACCATTGTCGGCCATATATGGCGGAAAATTGGTAAAAACATTAATCTCCTCATTTAGTAAGACTGTTGTCAAACAAATTTTTACTAAAAAATTGCAATGCATATAATGAAGCTCTAGACAAGGTACAAATTTAAGTATTCTGATATGTATTTCTTTTTCAAAATTTCACGTAAAACATGATGTGCGCACCAAAAATTACTGAAATTGACTCTCCATAATGATATTAATGTTACTATTTGGCATTGATATTATTTTTGTTTGATAACATTTTTCAATTATATTAAAAGGTACACTAGCTAATCTTGTTGCTACAACTGTCATGGAGTTTATCAGTTAGTTGGTCAAAACTTGATTTGTAAACACTGATAAGAAAGAGCTCCTCATATTGTCCAAACGAAGTTTTAACTCACAAAATGGGTTTTGAAAAATAGTTTTTAACTTACATTCAGAGCATCACCTTTGTGGTAGTATTCTAAACTGATAGTTTTAGCAGCTACGTAAATCCACAGCCACTTTTTTGAACAGTGGACGAGAATTCACGGCCTTTCAGTTTCAACTCAGGCCTTGTCTCCACGAGCCGTTTCGCGAGATTTGTCCCAGGGAAAAATCCCACTTACGAAGTTGGGAAAAATATTGAGTTAATTAATATTTTTCCCAGTACCAAGTATGGTACTTGTACCCCTAGGACCCACTGAGAGAAGAAGAAGAAGTGAAAACGAATTGTGCGATATTTTATTCATTACTCCATTGCTCATGTTTGTTTAGTTAAAAAATGTGTCTAATTGTCAATTGAGTGCAATTGTTATTTTAATCCCGGTCAAATACTCGACTTTAACTAATTTATCTTCCCGCGCAAACTAGTCGCAGGACTGCAAAGAGCCCTGTCCCATGGAGACGGTAACTGGGAAAAATCCCAGAAGTTTCATTCCTGCGATTCGAACTTGGGAAAAATCCCATGAAAACGTCCCGTGGAGACAAGGCCTCAGAAAATAGCTCGAACAAATATCAAATGAACTTACATGACATTTCCCATAACATTTCCCATGTTCATATGAACATTCAGTCTTTTGAAATTCACAGCAAATAATACAAGAGTTTCCCAGGCAGTTTTTCCACTTGTTTTCAACTCTGGACTGAATGAGCTACCTGAGCTTGAGCCCTCATCTGATGGAATAAAAACAAAATATTCAGATAATTAAAACAAACAATTTTATCCCTACAAAAGGTTCTAATCGCGACTGGAAAACTTAATTTGACCAAAAATGTTCTACGAAGAAGAACTCTCTTTACTAATTTTTACACTTTTTCCCAACAAAAGATTAATAATTGCGAGGTTGTAAAAAACTTTTGATGAAAAACTTCGGGTTGATGAAGAGCTTATAATTCAAGATTTAAATTCTTGTAGGAACGAAAACACACCAAAAAATGCAGTAGTGTACAACAAAGTTATAAAAAGGCTGACTACTGAAGAGAGGCACATGTTCTACATAGCATGTAAAATCTCACTGACTAAGTATGATCTGCTGATGAGGTAAAAAAACCCAAACTAGTATTGATCTCTTGACATGCATCTCCCTGAGCTGAACCTGCTCCTCCCTCAGTCTTGCACCGTAACTCATTAAAGCTCATTTCGTGATTCTAATTATAATTTTTGACTTTGATTTCCTCACATAATAGGGACCCAGCATTATTATTCCATCCTCTTACTTCCACATTTATTTGACATGTCGTATTTTATCATCCTTTTCAAGTTTTGTATAAGTATGGTTGAGGAAGTACCTTGAAAGTTATGGTGTTGATTCTTGGTATCCGCATCAAAATTCAGTCTCATTTTTGCTCTATTTTGTGCATTTTTAGAGCCTTTTCCTGAATTTTTAGAGCTTGCAAACATTAACCCATCTGGAGAATGCCATCTGGAAAAAACAAAAAAAATCAGTAACTTATCTTGCTACGTTAGTCCATTGAATGGGACGGTTGCGCTGGTCAGGGAAGTGTGTTTTCATGCTTTATTCTTGTAGATAAACTAAAAATAATAAGATCTGTCCAAACAGCAACTTTCGACAATCAATATTAACTGAGATATCGCACCTTGAAAAACTCGGTTTATGACATCATCCACCGCCATAGTACATACTACCATGTTATGCACTATCGCGGTGGATGATGTAAAAAACCGGACTTTTCAAAGGACGATATCTTGGTCAATATTGAACATAGAAAGTTGCTGTTTGAACAGATCTTCATATTTTAGTTAATCAACAAGAGTCAAGCATCAAAACACGATTCTGTTACCAGCACAACTGGCCAATTGTACAAAAAGCTCCACTTTAAAAAAATAATTGTAAATTTAAAGTACAGTTTTAAGTGGCCTTAACATTATATACTGCAGACACAAGAATTATACGTATTTTCACACCTGATGAGATCTTGTCTTGAGGAGTTGTGACCTACTGTGCGAATTCCTGACATACTGCATTGTAATGTTTTTATGAGACTTTTTGAAAAAATGACTTGAAATTCCGAAATCATTAATTGATTGATCAGCTATTGAGTTCTTCTCAAAATTGCTGAAGATTCACCTTAAACACTATAATATTTATTTCATGGCATTGCCTCCAAGAGGGAATTGTTAAAATGATCATTGCTTTACCTTCTAGAGTTGGGGCTATTTTCAGGGCTAGAATCTTCTTCACTGTACATTGTGCCTTCGCCTGAAGTCATATCACCCAAAAACATTCTTCTGAATATGCTGCGTCTGTACCAAGCCTTTGGGAATGCTAATATCTCCGTTAAACGCCGCATATCATACTTAAATGAAGCTGAGCCAATATCAATAATTGCTGAGGAGGAAAAGATGTAAGGACAGACGTAAGATAACATGGAGACTTGAGATCAAGGTTAACTAATGATAACAGCCTACTTTGAGGCGATAGATTTTCTCATTTAAATTAATTTTCATTTTGGAAAAATATTTTTCACCGCCATGTGAAAACTTATCTGTGTCAGCGCTTACCCATTTGCTGGTTACTTTCCCCTCCAGACGGGCTAATTTAGTTGCTCTATAGCTTGCTGTGCTTACTTAAAGAACACATAAAGCTGCCACAGCTTCAATTGAGTTGATTTTTTTCATAGACTCTTCAAGTGACTTTACAAGTCCAAGTTATTTCTTTTTCTTCGTGAGAATAGCACAAGAAATTCTCAAAGTTTCATTTCCAGTGACTGCTTCTAATGCTGCTTGAGCTTGATCATGTCTCTTTCTTCACTTGTTACTCAATTGTACTGGCAGAAACCTTATGGACATAAGAATTCAAGTTTTGACCGTTGATTTAGAGGAAAAATGGAAACTTCATTACGATTTTAGTTATATAACAAGATAATTTAGAGCACCTCTTTTTTAAGACATATACCCTATCATTCGTGGAGATATTGTGCATTCATTGGAATTCAAAGTTTAGGGCTATCAACAAGATATCAAAGAGCTTACTGGAGAAACGGATAGTTGCATGACTTTGACTAGAATTGGTCATTTCAAAATTAAGTTTCCGACTTCTGGACAAATGAAACTTCACAAATTCTACATTCACACTTAGAGAATCTTTGCGTTCACTATCTGTGAGTGGGGACCACTGAGTTTCCTTCAAACCTGAAAAAAAAATAAAAAAAATAATATGAAACAAATGTAGAGAGATAGCAAAATAAAAAAAATTAAATGTTAAAACATGGGTTTTAAGTTAATCAAAGTGACAGAGTTGAAAAAAATTATGTTTCGAAAAATAATGAAAGGAATTCACAGGAGACTTACTTGTTTTTTTGCCACCATATGGGTGAAAGATGTATAGTGAAAAATCAGCTAGGCAACCAGTTACACTAAGACCACCAACGGCGGTATTGCTCATACCGGTTTTGAAATCATCCCTAGAAAGAAATAGAAGGATCAAGATTACAATATTGTAGTCCAACTTGATATGTGAAAATTGTAGATACATGTACAGCAGTAATATTGTCTTTGATTAACATATTATGTAATTATCAACATAGTAGGAAGGAATGGAAAGAGTATCAATTTATTTTCGAGCCTCAATACATTATCTAATTTATAAACTTCAAAGACAAAAATTATTCGTATCCTGAGAGAGAAAAATACATAAAGAATCCTACATAAGAAGTAATTGTAGAGAGAGGATCATTAAAAAGTGCGAATTATGGTTCAAGAATTGGAAAATGTCATCTATATATTGCTCTCATCCAATTTCTGCGATGGTATTATTACATGAAGGTTCGCAAAGCGAATCTTACAGTCACCCATGAAGCAGGTAACTAGGCGTGTTGGAAAGAAACCCCTACCTGGCTGTTTAGGGCACACCGATAATTGCATAGTTGTCTATTCTGACTCTTCTTATTTACTTACAACCGCCACTTCAACACCGATCTGCTGCTCTGTTTTCCTAAACTTTTACCATTTCATTCTAATTACGTTTCAGAAAATTCTGTTTGATTTATAGGAATGAGTCAGATCACCATTGGGGAGACTTTTATTCTTCTGTTGAAATCTTAGTTAAATTGAAAAACCTTTCACGGCAATCCTCTACTGATAAAATAAGTAAATGAAAAGTAAAAACTTACTCATTCGGGGAATCAGCTCTTTTGGATGAAAATACTATATCAAGCGACGGTAACTGTAGCATGCACTCAACACGAGAAACAGGCAAACATGAAAATCGGAATGCAGAAGGTTTCATATGGAAATATACAATTACATCCACTGGGAATGATGCGTAAGCGTATTGACCAACATAATTTGTAACATCGTCATCTGTGTCCAAATTGAACATGTTATTCATTTGACCTACAAACAGAAGAAACATTCATTAGGATTATGGAGAAAAAGTTAGGGTAGGCATAGTCGAGATGCATAAACTCTCATGTCTTGTTACAATTGTGACCAAAAAGTAAGCCAAAAAATTTGGTTGAAAAAACATGGCGGTGAATTCTTCAAGTGATGTCATAAAAATTTGTTAGTGCATTTAGTGCTGCTTTTCTGCAATTTAAAAAGCAACTTTCTTTGGTAAAAGTTGATTAGGTAAATAAGAAACAGAAAAAGTATTTTACCTGCTGAAGGGAAGGGTGAGGTATTCATTTGTGGAATGGGAGCCAGCGTTTGCTCTAAAAATTCAAGGATATGGGGTGATATGATGGTTTCTTCAGGAATGCTTTGTAAAGTGGTCCAAGCAAACAAAGATGCTTTTTTAGTCCCTGATTTACGAGTTACAACTCCATTGTTGTCCACAGAGTATTTGGGAGGAGGACTTTCGTCCGTTATCATTTTTGATTCATAGTGGACCTGAAATATCAATAAAAGAATTAGTAACCAATAAATGGTGGAAAATTCGGAGAAGGATTATCTAATGTATTTTTTTTAAGCAAAAGTAATGACCAGTGAACAATATTGATCAGTGATTCATAAAATCACCTCATCTGATGAGTTGATGGGTATGATCATCGGATGGTTCCTGTCACATGTAAAAATATTTGGGAATCCAAAACCTTTGATATAATGCGAGGGGCCCACTGATGGGAATTTAGGTCTGGCGCACCCGCGTCCCAAGCAACCTAGTTGTGGCCCCCTTTACAGACTATGGCGCTTCTGTATTACGTTTAATGACTTGGTTCCTTTAAGGAGAGAAGAGGGATAATCTTGGGACCGCACTGGAGGGAAATCTCTTCATGGAACCCATAGTTGGATTTGTCACCAGGCTCCAGTTTACCCCTGAGAATTCGGTCTGTTGTAATTTTTGTGCTATCAGGGTGCAGACAGTCTCTCCGGGGCAGGGCGCAACTTTCGCTGGTGGCCCTCTCCCTATCATGCCGATGGTGATAATGGACAAACAAGGCTGAGGAATCTGCGGAGGATCATGCTCCTCACTTCTCCCCAAAAAACTGTGATTTCACGATCTGCCGTCAGAACAGTATGCGCACAAATAGTAGTTTTATATGGATTCCCAGATACTATAAGGTTGGTGTTTTTAATTGAGTGGTGGTGCAGGGCGGCTGCAACTGGGAGGCAAGAACATCTTAGAGGTGTGGTTTGCACCTTTCCCTCTTTCCAGAACCAAAAAAAGAAACCAGTAATAAATTAATTTGGATTAAAATGTCACTAATGTTTGTCTCAAGTGAAGGAACTACAGCATACAGGGGTTTACATACAGAAAGAAAACACTTACTTTGACATCAAGTCCTGGAATGTGAAATATTGTGACATCTAATAAATTAACGGGAGCTGCACTGAGGTGAGTGCGGAGCCTGGAAGAAGAGGTATTTGCTGAGCGACTGTTTTCTTTGTTGGAGCGTCGACTCATGTTTGGTGAACCAGGAGGGAATTCAAACATGCCTCCTGAGCAGCTTCTTTCCTTCTTCATTTTACTAATTCTGTATTCAACAAAAATTAAAAGCATTGCGGTACTTAATAAAAAAGGAGTGCAACTGATTTTACTACAAGAGCTCTTCGGAACTTTCTGGAATCTTACTTAAGATTACCTACTTCATATTTCCTAAAGACTGACAGAAAGTGTATGTGATACTAAACAGAACTTCTCCTCTCTCACAATTTCTATTTGTGATAGATTTTTCCATTTTCCATAAACTTTTCAATGAAAATGGCAAAAGCCTTTGGGTTTTTAGCAAATTATGAAATGATTTCATTTGGATTATTGCTTTTAGGTACAAATTAGCCTCGTTTCCCATTTTGTAGGGCCTCTTATTACAAACTTAAATACTCCTTCCGCTTTAGGACGATACATGACACTTGAGCTGTGCATTGGTCTACAAGAAAGGCTCTTTTCAGGGAAAAAAATTGATCATGAAAAAGGCATTAAAGCCACTTGACCCACATTCTTGATTGCAACCTAGAGGTACGAGACACAAAGGCTGAACATTTGAGGCTTAAAGGTTGAAAATATTACACTTAAAAAAGTATGAACTCAATTTTCCTTTGAAAAAAACAATTACAAATAAAATTATGCTAAATTAAAAAATAACAAATGTTAGTATTGTCAACTGCATAGAAAAATACTTACAGTTTTAATTCGTCCTCCCTTGCTCTGTCTTTGGTGTACAGTGCGCACTTCCCACTATTAATTAGCACTTTGACATCTAATTCAAAGTCAATGTTTGGCTCTTGAGTTTTCTGATTACCGCTCATGCTTGGTAGAGGTGTGTGCAGTAGTATTGGTCCTTTCAGAGGAGAAGAATCTAGGAGAGCAGAGTGACTGGAAAAAAAGAGAAAGAAATTGCTGAACAAAATTTCAAAAAAGTTGATGCAAGGCAAAAACTTTGCATTTTTACATGTTGTCCCAGACCACCCATATTAGACTTTTTTTAGTCATTTCAGGTCAAACGAAGCCAAGGATCGTAGGGACCTAATGGAAATTATCTCATTGAGTCCAAATTTCATCATCTAGAAGTTGCTCTGTCCCCCTTGGAGGCTAGAAGGGGGTCCTGACTTTGAAAATTAGAATTCCTGCCACAATTTTGGAATTATCTCATCAAAATCAATAGATATGGAATATTTTAACCTTAATCGACATCAAAAATTCTGAAATCCCATCGAGTCCATCCCTGTCCGAAATACTGACGTCTGAAGTTGAAGGGAGGAGGGGGAGGGAGCCCTTCAATAAAAAGCAAGGTTGCTGAATATTCAAGAAGACCAGTGGACCAGGGTGTCCACTGAAACAGGCTGGCCAAAAATAAGTACTTTTACAGTGCTCTTTCAGTACATTCCCAAGAAATTCAGTGCCTCCTCAACAGAAAAATTCCTTACTTTTTCAGTACCTCTAATAGACAAAATTTAACAAATTTGAAAAATTTTAATTTCTCGCTCAAAATGAGACAAAAATTTCAGACCTTCTTGCAGAATTTCCGCACTTCTTTGGTACTTCCGGACCGCCCTCAAAAAATCAGTACTATTTCCGGACTTTCCAAAAATTCCGGACTTGGAGACACCCTACAGACAGGTACTTTGATTGGTAATTGACCCTAGAAAATCCAAATTGATGATCCTGAAGTCTTTTAGGACCTCCCTGATGCGGCACTAGTCGGGCCTTACACTTGCTAAAAATTAGGCACCTAGGCAATAAAATTTTGGTGATTTATTGAATTCACTTACCTATTATCAGTAGAATCTGAACTAATAGGGTGCTCCCAATCTAAAAATTCACCTCCAACAGGTAAACTTAGCTCAGAGCTTGCGTTTGGCAGTGAAGTTTGTCTGTAAAATAAAGGTAAACAAAAATTTCTAAACTGTCTGAAAAAAATATATTTTAGGACCAGAAAATGCAATAGGGAAAAAAGATCTTGGTTTTAGAAGTTATGGGGTACTTTTTCTTCCCCCCCTCTGTAGTGGATGGTAAATGGAACCATAACAAAATGAAAAGTTTGCCAAAGAAATAAGACACTAGAGCATTTGATGATAATTTATTTAAAAACAGAGAAAACTTCGGGACGTTTGATTTATGCATTACCTGCCATAATCAAGACAGATCTGCAAGTACTTCTGCATCTTCTATAGCATGATCCTTTGTTGCAACTCTCTGACTTTGGTAATTATATCTTGACAACTAGCACCCATTTCTGAGATTTTTGTTACATTCAAAGTATTTCGTATATTTTCAAGACGCCCTTTCTTCTTCTCTAATCTTTTTCTTTGAAAAAAAGGAAACTAGCACAATAAATCTTGCAAAAAACATGTGAATGGAGGTTAAAATTTACTAACCTTGTTATACTACTGAGCGAATCCCTGAATGTCACTCGCGGTCCATCTTGTCCGCGGGCTGTGCGTAGTGAAGAAGATCGAGAGGGCCCCAGAAATGCTGATCGCTCGACAGCATCTTCCATTGATTCTAGTAGGGGACTGCAAAGGTCATTGATAAAATGAGAAAACTTTGACCATACGCAAGGAGTTTTTATTATTATTATGATCAGTTATCTGCTTGTCTTGAAGAGATATTACTTTTCAAACCTATCCCCGAAGGTAAACTATACCTCTAGGCTATCGTTTCAATGCATGACTTTTTACTATATGTGGGCCATCTATAGCCCTATTATTTCCTGCAGAAATGTTAGATTGTGCTCTCTTGGTACTTTCTCTATTTTTCACTGGTCGTGCCGATAACCCATAGCCGTTGGGTTCCAAATATTACATACATTATTATTACATGTTTCTTTGCTTGATGATCAGAACATGAAAAGTAATCCTGGCCTTCAAAAATGTATATTTTTTCCATTCAGCAGACATATGATGAAAGCCATCTGAAGTAATTAATTAGCTATAACAAAGTCCTTTTCATCGGCTTCTCTTCCTGTAAGGAGCCCACCTTTAAAAAGCCTGGCTGCCCCTGCTTTCTTTGCTCAAACAATTTTAAGGCACGTTGTTACTACTAAAGAAAGAGCACAGCTGGCGGTAGGCAGTGAAATCTTGTTTTTTACTTGCACATTAACCTAGGCAGGGGTTTGAATCCACAGGAGTGATGGATACAGATAAGGCAAGCTTACTTGTTTTTGCCTCACTTATGGACTCAAAGAATATCAAGTGAATGTGCGAGTGAAAAACAAGATTTTGGTATATGTCACTCAGTACACCTGCAGGCCAATTATTAAATGTTTGAAGCAGTGCAAAAAGACATTAAAATGTGATTGCATGGTTGAGATAGGACTATGTCTTGTTTTGTTATATTGACATAGATTCAATAATTGGGTTGTAATAAAGATGCTTCACACTGGACAGCATTATTAACAGTTTTCACTAATCACCAGGACTACTACTATGAAGTACGTTCAGTTAATCCTGAAAAAGAAAAGACTTACCTGCAACTGTCTAATTGTTGTTCGGACATTGGAGATGGAGCTATGAAAGATTTTGACCGAAAAGTGGTTCCTTTCTTTCCTATTCCTAGTTTACCTTTGATTTGAGATTTCCCCCGAATACTCTGGCGTCGAAGTTTTGAAATCATATCCCTGCAAATTAAAAAAGAAATGAAGCAAAGGTCAAGTAAAAATGAGGGGTGAGGTGGATCCAGGAGTAATAATTAATAATGATTACTGTTGGGTACATCTTCATTTGCAAATACAAAGGGCATCATTTTTCATTGTACTTCTTTTTTTATTTGGGCTCATTTATTTGTCACTCAAACAAAATTCAGCTTTTTGTTCAATTTTGACTTTGGTCTCAAATCTTTTTTGCTATCTTACTTTCTGTTGAAAGAAATATGTACATGAAATTTATGCTGGGGTATTTTGGCCCCCAGGAGGGCGGCAAGGCTTGCTCAACCAGTTTTAAAACCAACAACACATGGAACCAACAACGGGAGGTCATAAGGTGTCCCACCTTCCACCTAGATTTTGATCCTTCATATCTTCAGTAACTTTCTCCCCCCCCCCCTTTCATAAATCTCCTTTTGCTCTAATTGATCACATGCTACTGGACGTGTATACTTGTATGTTATAATTAATGTGATCGTTTATTATAGAAGAGTATCAATGAGAAGATAGTTACACGCGCACTTGGAAGAGAGTAAGAATAAATCAAAACAAAACAAGCACACGGAGGAATAAAAATTAGGGCAAGATACAACTCTGGATCAAACCTGGGACCCATCAGCCAGTGTGCAATAATCTTGATTTGTGTACTATTGCAGCGCTGAAGTCAGATAAGCGTCATTCAACCACTTCAGCAAGCAGCCTTTCTCGTCAATTTCTTCACTATTTTTTTTTTTTTTTGAACTTTCAGGGCCAATTTGCGAAAACAGCAAAACATTTGCCCAGTAATTGCATGAAGAAACTTTTGGCCACATTCCGATCAAAATCTAGATGAGACACTACATGAGCTTCCTTGTAAACTACATGAGATTTGTGAGGAAAATATCGTTGTTCCAATGAAAAAAAAAACGTGGAAGCCTTAGTTTCATTTGATCTCAGTCTCAAGGCATTGAAATGTATTGTACTTAAAATCCAGGTTAATTGAGACTGTTCCATAAATAGTCTTCAGTAAAAGAGAACCCATTTCACCTGCCGCCCTAATATTGACAGAAAACTTTCATTCATACTATTTTATATTTTGCGCTGATTTTTTGTTATGACTAGATGATAACTCTTCCATATTAAAAAAGGAAAAAAAATTAAGATCTAACCTGCGAAAACCTTTGAACACCAAAGTTTCTAATTCATGAAGTCGCTTCATTTCTTGCTCGATGGTTCCGTGAGAGGCCCCTAGTGAGCGCAAATCATTGATGACCTTGGCCTGTTCATACATTTCCTTCTCTAATAGTTTTGATCTCTTCTTAGGATCAACAGATGGGTCAAGAGCTAGTGATGATAACGTATCACTTCCTAGGCGATTGCGTCCAGCCCTCAGCAGTATACTTTCCTGATAAAGCATATTCAGAAAAATAAGCTTCGTTTTCAAAAATACTTGGAGTGAGAATGTTAATCATTTAAAGTTTGATAGAAATTTAAGATGTATTTTTAAACAATAGAAGATATTTTATCTTTGAAAGATAATTAATTTTGAATGGACGTGTTGAATTTCAAAATAGAATGCAATAAGAATTTATAATACTACAGGGCCAAGCATTTTAATTTTTGACACATGGAAGTGAGATTTGAGAGCTGAAGAAACGGAAACAAGATACAGGGTTATTCAAAAGTTACGCACCACTGGCCATAACTTTAGTTCTAATTATGATATCGATTTGCGGTTTGTGGCGTCCTTCCTCATATCGAGGGGGAAACTTTTTGAGGTACTTTTCAGTTCTTCACCCCCTTAGGGGGAGAGGGGGCGGGGGGCAACTCAAAAATTTCAAATGGCAACCCCCATCATGTGATACATCATTAGAAAGAGCATGAAAAAAGAAAATTTTTGGCGCAAACCGGAAGTCGATCTGACCCCCCTGTCAAAAGTTAGGGGGGTCCAAAGGTTATTTAGGGGGTCCGTACCTTCATTTTTTAGAGTAGCTTCGGCGGCTCTTGGACATGCCGTTTCTCTTTTCAAAGAGTCCTCGAATACTCCAAGTCTGATACCGAAGTCTTCATATTGCCCCCGGGCCACCACAGCCCCCCTGTAGGGGGGGATGGGCCTGTTACAATGAAACATTGCATTGAAATGCGAAAAGTCACAGAAGAGCTTCAAACTTAGCATCAAATCCGAGTGGAACTTCTTGCCAATGTTAACGCAAACGCAGCCTGCGACTTTAAAGTGAGCTTCCAAAACTCTTAGCCCCCTGCCCCCCCTCATTTTTGGTTGCAGAGCGGGTAAAAACCGGGAAATTCACTACAAATAATACCCGAAACTAATGTCCAACTTGAGGAGGACCCTTGAAACGTTGCGATCAGTCGGAGAACTGCAACACAGGAACTGCCACCCCCTTAAAGTACGGAAACATCCAAAACTTCCCCGCTGCCCCCCTCATTTTTCGTTGCGGAGCGGGTAAAAACCGGGAAAATCGCCAGAAATGATGCCCGAAACCACTGTAGAACTTGACGAGAACCCTTGAAACGTTGCGCTCAGTCGGAGAACTGCAACACAGGAACTGCCGCCCACTTTAAGGACGGAAACATCCATAAAACCCCCGCTGCCCCCCTCTTTTTTCGTTGCAGAGCTGGTAAGAACCGGGGCATCATTTCTGGCGCATTTCCCGGTTCTTACCAGCTCTGCAACGAAAAAAGAGGGGGGCAGCGGGGGTTTTATGGATGTTTCCGTCCTTAAAGTGGGCGGCAGTTCCTGTGTTGCAGTTCTCCGACTGAGCGCAACGTTTCAAGGGTTCTCGTCAAGTTCTACAGTGGTTTCGGGCATCATTTCTGGCGATTTTCCCGGTTTTTACCCGCTCCGCAACGAAAAATGAGGGGGGCAGCGGGGAAGTTTTGGATGTTTCCGTACTTTAAGGGGGTGGCAGTCCTTGTATTTCAATGCTCCGACTGATCGCAACGTTTCAAGGGTCCTCCTCAAGTTGAACATTAGTTTCGGGCATTATTTGTAGTGAATTTCCCGGTTTTTACCCGCTCTGCAACCAAAAATGAGGGGGGGCAGGGGGCTAAGAGTTTTGGAAGCTCACTTTAAAGTCGCAGGCTGCGTTTGCGTTAACATTGGCAAGAAGTTCCACTCGGATTTGATGCTAAGTTTGAAGCTCTTCTGTGACTTTTCGCATTTCAATGCAATGTTTCATTGTAACAGGCCCATCTCCCCCTACAGGGGGGCTGTGGTGGCCCGGGGGCAATATGAAGACTTCGGTATCAGACTTGGAGTATTCGAGGACTCTTTGAAAAGAGAAACGGCATGTCCAAGAGCCGCCGAAGCTACTCTAAAAAATGAAGGTACGGACCCCCTAAATAACCTTTGGACCCCCCTAACTTTTGACAGGGGGGTCAGATCGACTTCCGGTTTGCGCCAAAAATTTTCTTTTTTCATGCTCTTTCTAATGATGTATCACATGATGGGGGTTGCCATTTGAAATTTTTGAGTTGCCCCCCGCTCCCTCTCCCCCTAAGGGGGTGAAGAACTGAAAAGTACCTCAAAAAGTTTCCCCCTCGATATGAGGAAGGACGCCACAAACCGCAAATCGATATCATAATTAGAACTAAAGTTATGGCCAGTGGTGCGTAACTTTTGAATAACCCTGTATGCTGAAAGCAACAGGTATGGATTTCTATCAGCAGGAATTTCAAGAAGGGATCAAGTCTGTAATGATATAGTGTGCCAGAGGACAAAAGTAGACAATGACATTACCTCGACACCTTGACCAAACAGCTAGTCTGAGTAAAAAAAATAATGGAGGAGAGGCTGGTAGGAGCCAAAGAGGGCAATAAGTGAAAGGGTAGTGACTGGGAGTTGAACAAGAAATGAGGGAATGCCAACTCCCAGAAGGACTTTGGGATGATTGGGGACTGTGGCAATTAGGCACAGTCAGAGAGAGCTGTGAGAGCACCTTTAATGTACATAAAATAATTGAGGAGCTAATTATATCAAAACAGAGGATAAACCTCGTTACAAGTTAGAAAAGAATTATTTAAGAGGTATTCTTCAAAACTGATAGATCAACTGATCGGTCTTTTTCAGATAAGGTCAGTCAAGAAAATGATCTAATTTTGGCTATACGTTATATATATTTTTTTTGCAGCATACATTACATTCATATTCAACGAATTTTGTCCAAATGGTCGTTTGTGGCAGAATATTAGGCTAGTAAACGTATGCACTTTAAAACTAGAAAAATTATACATCTCTTAAACTTTATGAGTTCGTGCATGTAGAAAGACAAGATGTACCTGTGAAATAATAGTTGTATCATCAGCATCATCACTATCACAGCCAGTTGTCAACGTGTCATCTTCTTGCACACCAGTTAACATGGTTAGTGTATGGCCTAGTGCTGATAGCTGTTTCCCAAGGTTGACATCCAAGTCTATATCCACACCCTCCATTTTCCATTGCACATTCAGAAGCCATTTTGCATTTTCTGAAACACATTAAAAACCACAACTGTCATTGTTACGAACATAATCGGCCATCACATTGAAAATTAGCTTATGAATCGTACTGCAAAAAATTAATAGAAAGGTTCTACAACATGAGAAAGAGTGCTAGTTTAAAGTAATTCAAACATGCATTATTTAGTTGGCAAACCAGCACTTGACATTCAAGTCTGCTCAAGTCGAGTTTTGTTGGATGATTACTTGCATTTTAGTCTAATTCTAGATATGCCGGCCATTGTTAGCAACTAATTATTGGTGCACTTGTAAGATTTATAATTAATATCATCGTCAAAAAATAATACTGTCTGAGTGCAAATTGTAAAACTTTGCAATGGGGTGAAAAAGGTCATTTTTGTCACTCTGGTTGAAAAACAGGTTGATCGTAAATCTTTCACATATTGCTGTAAAAAAATATTAGGATATTCCATTTTGTGAAAAAATTATTTTGTGACCCACTTCTTACTGCAATGTGTTACAATGGCTAATATTTATCAACTAATGTCACCTAGGCAGCAATGTTTTCTGAGCAAAGATATTCAAACGTAGATGTGACCTCCTTTCTTTCACACTTATACTTTATAAAGCATCAGAGCAAACAATTTGTCCGTGAGCATTCAACAATAAAAAAATAACAAGCAAAAAAGTATTCATTTTAACCCCCAACAGTCTTTAATAATACATTAATGACTTTAATTGCATCTGATTGATAATGCATAATAAGTTTTATCTATCTGATTCTTTAATTAATTACCTTTTTGAGTTATGGTCCGACTGCAGACCTCATATGTTCCCTCAGATACAGTGCACAAATTCATAACAGTTTCTGTGCTAAGAGGGTCTGGTTTCCAGTCATCTAAAGATGTTTCAAAGTCATCAGCAAACCGTAGACAGAGACCAACAAAACGCCCTTTGCTGACTAAAGATCCTGATGAGCAGGCAGAAATAATTGTTGATTCTAAAGTTATCACCACGGCAGCACATGAGTCACTGTCTACAAACAGAGATCGGTTCAGGCTCCAAGTGGCCTGACGCGGGCACTATTAAAAAAAATAGGAAAAATACCAATTAGAAAACAAAATATAATTAATCAGATGTCCATACATGTATAAACATATGACTTTTGTGGTAAGTCACGTGGTCTTGGTATATCCTTTTCTTTTTTTTAAAAAAAAAAACCCTTAAATAGATACTTCAATTCTACTGCTTTCTTGGCACTATATAGTTTTTAATGAGCAAGAGCATGAACAAAAATTAGAAATACATAAGTATAAAAATGATAAAGAAGACTTAATTTTGGTCATGAAAATTTCAAAATCCACATTGATTTAAAACCAACAAAACGCCAAAATTAATAGCCCATGAAAAAAGAAAGCTAAAGAGAACTAGCACTCGTTTCAAAACAAAAGTCATACCGGAGGTAATGGATTGAGAGGAACGCAGATTCCCATATCTTCAACAGTCAACTGGAGAAACAAAGTTCCAAGATGTGGGCCAGCTGCAAACTTTTCAAATTGCACTTTTTCAAAAACTTGCTGAGTGGCCGTCAATACTTCTTTATTCAGGCTTGCTCTTTGTTCATTCCAGTACTCATAGGCATTTTTGTAGTTCAGCCACACGAGAATGGCCTTATCTACTGCTACTGGCTGGATGTAGATTAACGGCCTCCGCATTGTTATGAGAATTACCTCCTTGTCTTCCCCATCTCCTCCCATTTCACCTGTAATTTGAGTAAAAATTAATTAATCTTTTTTTTAAAAAGAAAGATGAATGATAAAAAGGGTCCATGAATAAGTGAAGAAGAGGAAGAAAACCCTAAGGAGAACAACACAGTAAGATATTATTATTTTACTCTATATATAGCTGCTGACACCCCCCCCCCCCCCTAGAGAAAAATTAGCCGAAGCGATTTCCTTTAAACTTGGTACTTGCTTTGCTACAGTCGTGAGGAGTTGATTAAAATTATTCCGATTCCAAACAGTTGCCCAGAACGCCCGCAAGAGCGAAAAGTTGTTTCTCCCTATAGTAATGCATTGGGGATACAAGGTTGTTTACGCGCACCGCCCGGCGGCTCACTGAGCAAGCCATTCATTAGAGGATTGGAAATATGTATGCAAGTTTACCTTGAACAGCATTGCGTAGGCTGATCCTTGTTTTAAAGAATGCAAAGTGTTGGAACTCGGGGTCTGCTTCTTCAAATAGAGCATTTCGGATCACTTGGCCAAGACTCACATTTACATCGACATGAGCTTTGACAAACAAACGAGCTACGGCTGCATCAGCTCCACTTATATTTTGAACTCGGTTTGACAACTGACATTCAGCAAGTCCACTCTCCAATCGGACAGCACAATTGCTTGGAGTTGTTGCTGTTAGCTGAACTCGCTGAAATTTTTGGACAAAAGCATTAATTTATCAGTCAAAAAAAATATGTTTCTGAAATTAGAAATGAAAATAGTACTATTATGCATAGAATGAATTCACACTCTCTTAGGTGTTTTATTTCATTTTTTTACATTCATTCTCCAGAAAGTTGGACATCTTTTATTGTGTGATCTCCCAATTTCACAGGTTTGGATTTTGGACAGAGGAAATTTTAGATACTATTTGGAAGGGATCTAGAGGGTGAAATTAAAAAACCCACACTCAAGATTCTATGTATCATCTTAGTACTAAACATTAGACTAGACTGTAGTTTGTAAGTACGGGAAAAAAAAAAAAATATTGCCAATTTAAATCCATAAATGAGAAAATAATGGGACAATCTAAATAAGATAGAAAATATAGAAATTTGCAGTAATCTCTTTCCATTTAATGTAGAAAAATTAGTACCTTGACTTGTACAACCAAGGAGAAAAGTAAAATTCTCTTGCTGGATGGATTGCTATCCGTCGTTTCAGAGTCTTCCAACCAAATAGGAACAGGTTTCTCTCCACCGTACACTTTTTGAACGACTTCATTAACTTCCTAAAATGTCAACCATAAATATGTGCAATTAATAATCGTAATTCAGAGGTCAATGAGGGCAACTGAGATGAATTTTTGATCGCAGTCTAGCTGCATCCCAAGAGGGAGCCGTGTCCATAACAAAACAATTTGCCAGGGAATGAAGATTAAAAGTAATTCTGTAGGCCCTGTCCACACAAGTGCACTTCGAGGAACTTAGTCGACGAACTGCTCAGTAGCTCGAAACTTGTTCCTTCAAACAAGGGATGCTATCCACCTGAGTTTGCCCGAACTGAAACCGGAACTTCAATAAAACCATACAATTATTGCAAAATAATAGATTCCTACGGCCACGAGAGTATATAACAAAAACAATTGTCAAGACATAAAGGACGTAAAAAACAAAAACAAACGAATTCACAACAAAATAAACATAGAAGCTCGGAGTACGGGGAAGTTCCGGGGTTTGGAGGAATACTTGTTACGGGAACAAGTTCCCGAACTATGTCCCATGAACCGCGCTTGTGTGAACAGGGCTGTACACGTGATTAAAAGTAAGAATGTTCTAAAGATTGGTAAATTAAAGCTGCTGGAATGCCAGAGAGGTCATTTTATACAGACCAACCGCAAAACTGAACAAGTCAAAAATTTTACGCTACCACTTGGACTGAAATTTAAGCATAAAACAAAACAAAATTAAACAAAACAGTGGCAAATAACCACTTTTTCCAGTGGTCCATTAGACAAGAGAAAAATGATTAGCTTGTGAAATGCTTTATTTTATCACAAATAAACCAGTATTTTGACACAGAGTTCTAGTCCCATTCATCAGTGTGATATACAACAGTTATACGAGTATAGAATAAGTCTAGATTAGTTACATCGATAAAGATCCACAAATATTGACCACTGATGGAACTGACCTTCATGAAAACTTTCTGAACAAAAACAAGATGATTCAGCAAGTCCGTTGTCAAAGAGTGCTCAAAAACACCAATATCTGCGACAGCATTCAGATAGTTCCCCTGACGCAGCACAACTCCAGCTGTAAAATCAGTTATGGACCGATGAGTAAAAACAATCTTAATTAATTGATGAAAATTAAGAAAAAGTCTTGAAATGTCTCTATTTTATAATATTGACATCAGAGACGATGAATACACAAGTATAACACTTGAGATATTGGGACAAAGATTGGATTTGTAAATAATACATGTTTTGATCATTGATGATTATACTGCTTCCAAAATTTCCACTTCTTTTCTTTATCAAACAGAATATGTACTGCATTCTCGACGCTTGTAATTTATCTTCCTAAAGACCAAAAAATACACACCTCCAACTGCAATTGAAGTCTAGCAGATGATTATAGCTTCCTATTCAGCACAATTAAATGCATTTAATTCATTCGTTGATTCGCTGTGTAATTGATAGAAATGAAGAGACTATGACTGATTTACCTCAGAGACTATGGTTTTACATGGAATCTTTTTTTATTAGGGTTGTGCAAGTGCTTGATAGAGTTGAGTTGAGCCGTTTCCAGCAATACCTTATTCTTGAGTTTATTCAGCGCAGCTTCAGAATAAAAACATAGATAATTGTTGGTTTACAGAACCAAGAATCTATAGAAATTGATAGTAATGAACATTCCCAGGTTTGGCTTTATTTCCGATTGAGAAGAGACAAAGTTCTACTTACGTATTTCTATCATGAACTGAATAACTAGGTGGCCATTCACTAAAAGAGTGATCAGTAAAATGTTACAGGGCTTTTTGCTATTCAGATCACAAAATAACTTGATGGATCTTGATGAATCTAGTTCTTGCTCATCCTTGTCTAGGATTTGTTTTAAAACAATAAAAAATGTTGATAAAAATTGTAAGACTATTGATTAAGTATACAACGATCAACACTACTGTGCCTTGGAAACAGAATAAAAATACTAACTTGTGCCAGCAAATTGAGCTTCTGATTGTTTATTTGTGTCTTGTTGAACATATTCAGCTGAAACGTGAACTTTGGGTAATTCTATGCTTGCCTCAGATGGAAGGTTAGTTTCTGTGATCTGGAAAACAATGCCAAATAAACAAAAATGAACTCTGTGACTTGAGTATAGTGGAAAAAATGGATTCTACCACCTAATCTTTCCTATAAATTAATAAACATCATTCGCGTTTATTCAAGTATGTATGGTGGTTAATTTTGAACAAAGTGCTTATAATTTAAGCGGAAAAACAAATTCGAAAATTATCAGTTTAGAAAAAAGAGGGTTTTCCACAAGAAACAAAAATTGATTTTATAAAAAAGTAGAATACTTAACAGATTAAAGCATATTGAATGAGAAATTGGCAACTGAAAGCCGCATATTCATAACCCTTTCTTTTTTTGATCAGTTCCATTCTCTTAATGGAGATAAAGTTGCTACAATGCATTGCTCCTCTGACCTAAGGGAGTATCTATGTTCCTAAAAGAGCTATGGAAAGTATAGAAACATACGGAGAATAGGGCTCAGGTAGTAATAGAGATACGCCCTTACATCAAAGGGGCGCAGAATTGAGAAGTTACTTTGATGAATCTAAATTTTGTGGGTGTGTGTTTCTGGCTGCAAACAGGAGACATTATTCACATTAACAAAAAACTTGTGATAGATCCAAAAGAAAAGTTGAGGTTGTGCAGATATGATAAAATTTCATACCTGCACTTTGGTAGAAAACGATAATGAGTGCCGAGGAAGATCAATAATGAATTTTGCTTTGCTGCCAGTGACACCAGTGCTCGTAACTTGATCCATTTTATACTGCGCTTGAAGAGAAGGAAGCAACGCAGCTGTGATGCTTAAACTCTGAAAAAGTCAATGAATGTAAAATAAAGGTGCATGCAAAACTCGTGACAAAAATTCTGAGCATTCAAATTGAGGTGGAACTCTGTAAATATTCGATTTAAAATCCAAAGTAGAGCAAACTTGAAAGAATTTCCCGACTTTAACTTTTGGCAGTACAAAGATCATAGAAAAGGATTTTATTTTTGCATGAAATTGCACAGAATATGAGCCTTTTCCCTTGAAATCAGCTGATCAAGTCACCTGTTTGATTAGATACGTTAATTGACGATAAAACGATATTCATTCATACGAACACAATACCTACCGCAACTACAAGAACTGAAAGGTTGTTTCACCTGTGATGTTTATCTGACAGCTCAATACTACGAAAAACTTGATACTCACTTGTACGACACCTGTGAAATGCATAACGAGAGGTTGGAGTATTGTTGTTGGCTCCAAAGGCAGCTGCGGTTTTGGGACAGTAGGTTCATTTTCTGATGCTCTGAACTCCGGAGAATATTGACCGGTATTACTGGGACCAGCATCAGTCTCATCGATAGGTGCTCCACGACTCATGCGATTTGAAGTTCTAGTCACTCTCAGTTCCTTCACAAATAAATAATCAAGTTAGGTAGACTGCCGCAAAAGGGGTACAATAAATAAACACAATAAATTTACAAAATTTTCCCCCTTTGTATTATCAGACAAAATTACGATGTGTTGATGGGATATGCGATTAAATGCATAAGTCTTTCCATAGTAAGCCAATTAATAATTTTTTGACAAAGATTTCTGGCAGATCACAGCTGCGCTGATCATGCTTTCTTGCCATGGCAACCCGACAATCATAATAGCTATCCATGTGTGTATTTTACGTTCTCAGATCTTTCTTTTTGTTCTGCAATTTTCCTTTACTTGACCTGTCCAGACCTACCTGAGGATGTGCCAATACTGCTTCTATGTTCCTGTGAGATATTTTGCAAGAGATTCCAAATGACGAACGTTTAGTTGAATAGTTCAATAACTTAATTTAGCAAGTTCAAGTTCAGATCAGAAATCAAGGAGACGATTCAAAAACAAATAGTTAAGATTTTTAAATAATCGTTTCCCCCTAAAAGGTAGTACTTTTGATTACTAAATAGGAAACTACTACTTAATGGGAAATGTGAATGAGAACAGTTTCACTTGATTCAATAAATCAAATTCATCTGTATTAAAATATCACCTGCAATGTCGAAGACAGCTGTTTGCTGCCTCGTGTCATCATTCCATGCAGAGCAACAGGATGCTGGGGAATGTCGATGTTCACAGCTCCGATAGTAAGCAGACCTGAGTTCTTATCTTTGGTTCTGCGGCTCATACTTGAATATAATGCTTGAGACTTCCCCACTGTTGCTTTCACGACCGTTCTGGAGCAAAAGAGCAAAAAATTAGGAAAAAGAAGGAATCAGACATGCTAAAAGGTAATTAATCCCCTGTAAAAATACAGTAGTCACCTTGAATTTTGTCTATTGAAAAATCCATTTCGATTAATAAAGGAATGTTTTTATGAGCACCTCGAGGCCAAAAACTCAAAATGATCTTGATGTTTCAGACAGCAGAAAATAGATCAGATAATTGATAAAATTATTAACTTCACTGGTTCTTAATTTTAAATCCTAGGAAATACACTTACTGCTGGCTGGGTGCAACTCCTTCAAGTAAAACCACCATAGCTCGACCGACCTGACCGGTGACTGAACACTCAAGACTAGGTGGTCGTGTCTTCTTCCGGCAAGTGATGCTTGAATGCAGAGAGGTGATTTCAGCATCTAACTTCAAACCACTGAGCGTGGCTTGAAGTCGCGTGCGATGAATGCGAGCCACAGCAAAAACAATGAGTCGAGTTCTTTCACCTCTCACCATGCCTGCAAAAAAAAAATAAACATGAAGGGAACTCACATTTTCCAAGTAAAAAATAAAGAGAAAATACCATTTTTCTACTTTCTTAAGAACAGCTTCTTCAATTTAAGTTTAATTTTTTTTCTTCTTTTTTTTTAAAAAAAAAATGAGTAAAATGATAAATTTGAAGCAACACATGGTTTCAAATCGCAAGGGGTCATACGCAACCTCTTCCCACTTACTTCATGTATTTCCCCTCTTACTGGCGTTCTTTTTTAAACTTGACATTATATTGGCCGTGTGATCCTTAAGTCAGCCACAGATACACACCACTGCCTAGCTAGATAATTTATTGTAAGTCTTTCAAATTTACAAACTATGAGGTCACCACATTTCCCGAGCAATATATTACTTTGAATGACACTTAACGTTACAAGCAGAACTAAAAACTTGTAACTTTTTAGATCTTTCTTTCTTGAATTAATAAAATAAAAGGAAATTGGTATACTCAGTCATTCATTAGAAGACTCTGGATCCCTCCTTTTTAAATGGATGCTTGAAGTGCAAATGAGACCAATTTAGAGCCTCTTGATATGAACTGATGTTAACTCCAAAAAATAAAAATAAAAGTATAAGATAAACAATAAAAACTGGAAGAACATACTTTGAGGAGGAGGCGGGAGTGGAGGAGGCAAAGATGGCGTCATGTTCGGAACTCCTTCTCCTTTTTCAATATCTTCGCTGGACTTTGCTTCAATCAGTGTTTCAAATTTCTTCACCACTTTGAAGCTATCTGCCAAATCACCTGCCATTGATATTCTGGAAAAATTAGACAATTTTAAAATTCATTTCAATTCTGTGAAGGTATGGATAGAAATCCCTATGCTTAACCTTAGAGTAAATTAAAATTTTGGCTACAATGTTGATATATGAACTTGAATTGCGAAGACACCGGCATGAATCGCATGAAGAATAAATTCAAATAGAGTTTGCTCTTCAGAGCTTCTTAGTGTGCTCTGAGTGAGCTCTGGCTTATTTGTGTTTAGCTCACACAAATAAATTAACATAATTTATTTGAGTTTGAGTTTTTTAATTCCAGCTTTCTTCATGCTGTTATTTAGCTCACAGTTTGTTACTTCAATTTCCTGTCTGTTTCATTTTTTGTTAATTTCGGTTTATTACTTTACAGGTAGGGGTGTTCAAACAATTGCTTGCCAGTAAACTTTCGGTATTGTTTTAAACCAATGCTGCTAAGCGCTCCGATTATGGCAATGCTATCGGAAATGGCTGGCCTTATCATGATTGCAGGGGCTCTCATTCAATGCATTGTTGCCCTATATCAGTTTTTCTGGATTGCGCACCATAGACAGTCATGTTGCTCACGGCATCTGTTTCTTTCGCAAGCTACAAACATTCAGATTGCTTTCCATAAGAACCCTCGTATCATTACTTTTTCCTACCGGAGGTCTTTCAAAAGCTTGCTGCAAACTAATTGGACAGCCCTAGAGATAGGTACTTTCCACACTCATTGTTTTGTAAAATAAATAATGTTGAAAACATTTCTCAACAATTTGAGTGCAAAATTGAATTTGTAAATTAGCAATCACTTGAAAAATATTTTTCAACCTTTAGACTGTATTTTACTTTTTAAGAGATTATAAATTGAATTTCTACAATTGACTAGAAAAAATAATAAATTTACAAATTCAAAAAAGATAAACCTTCATCAACTTACCTGTGATCGACTGTTTTTGTTTCAGGCATTGTTGCATAGAGATCTAACAAATAATAAATTGTTTTCCAACATCTAGGCGTGATATCATGGTCTTTACTTTTGGTTGGAGAAATCCTGCCATCAGATACTGATGGGACAGGACTTGGAAAACTGCCATTCTGCAGATGCCCTACATTATTGTCGCTAAGATTCATGTAGCCTCTAACACTTTTACTGGTTGAGCGTAATTTTTGGGCTAGGCTTGTGGGGCGAGATCTAACAGAGGCTGATGGAGAAACTATTGGTTTCGATTCACTAGGTGACCGATAAAATGAAGTTATTGGTCTAGACATAAAACGATCCGTTTCTGTTGGAACAAGTGTCTGCATTGATATGTTGTGTGACTCCAGACCTGAAATATTTAGAGGAGGTTGAAAAAACTTAATGAAACTATAGACTGGACAGATTTAGGTAATGTGAAAAGAAATGAGATAATAAAAGTGTTGAGGAAGTAAAACACTGGAAATCAGGAGGGACATAAAGGAGAATAATTTTATAACATATTTTACTCCCTGCTTACTTTCAATTTAAATTTTTCATTTCATTTTTCCACAGAAAAAACCTCCTCTGAGACATTCTGTGCTTCTGAGCTTTCTCTTGTTAGTTTACTCTTCATCAAGTTAGGAGAGAGGATTGGATTTTTTCTGTAGAAACACAGCCATGCATTATTCTGCATGAAGATGGCTTTCAGTTTGCAGGTTGTATTGCATTGTTGGATGGTAAATATATAAAAAGTATTATGATAGGTACTTAATTGCTGCCCACCAAATTAAAATAACCATCATTTCATCTTTGACTAAACATAATTCGATTCTTGGAGATGTGAGTTGGTTCTTTCCTCTAGATCGTGATCAAATGGACACATTCATTGCCAAGCCAGCCAATGGGGACCGGCAATGACTGATCTTGCGAGGCTACAGAAATGGTTGAAGCGAGCAAAAAGTTGACGAACGCAGAAAACTGACACAAAATTTAGGAATCTTGATGAAATGACAGAGGTGAATTCTTGAAAATGCGGCAACATTCAGTTATACAGCACATAAAGCAAGTGGCACTATGGAAGCTACCAAACTATAGCTTTTGTAACACCCATTCCAAACAACCAGCGTTGGTCTTGTGTGAGTAGGGACCAAAAAACCCTCGACAGTCAACATGTTAGAGGAAAAGAGAAAAAGCTACGAACCACCATTATTATTCACAGTCGTTTTTGGCAATAGTTTTGTTTCTCCCGGAAGCTGTTCTTTTAATTCAGACTGGGTGTCCTTGACATTTTGGTACATGTTGCTGATTTGATGCAGTAGTCTCAGAAGAGGCATGTTTACCTAGTAAAGAGAGAAAAAATACATAAATGTATCCTCAATAATTGGGGCTTTGTCTTAAAAAAACTGTAAGTGGTAAACCAAAAAAATAACTGTAAATTAAATTCTTAGCATTTTAATAAACTCTGGGCAACGGAATTTAGCTTCCTGCATGTTCGTTGAAATTTTGTGTTTGTCAACTGGAAAAGACAAGCTTGAGGTGAAATGGAGGCATATGATTGATTGGCTTTTTTATCTCTAGTCATGTGCTCTCTTTGCCATACTTTTATCAAATCAGATACTCGACTGGCTGCCTGTCATAGAGGAAAAGTCTTCAGTTTGTAGATTATCTAGTCCAACAAAGACATGATAAAAAGAGCACAAGACCAAGGAACAACAAAGCCTACCATTTGCACAGCTCTATTTTGCAAATAACAAAGGCATTAGACGCATTGGTCAATGGACACAAGTTGGTGATCATACAATCATAGCAAGGTGACATTTTGACTCTGTATTACGCGGGATTTATTTTTTCCCTGATTATAGTTCTGGAATTTTAACAAGCTGTAAGTTATACTACTTTGCGCAGAGATTTAAGGAGTGAACTGTGAAAGTTTATAGGAAATCCTCATTCAATTTTCTTGTCCTTTGCCTTTGATCAAAGTTCCAAAAAATACACTAATTTCAAAATGTTCATAAATGGACGTATGTATGTCAAAAAAGAACTATATGCATAGAATTTGTGTGCAACATAGTTCCTTTTAGTCTAAAAATATCCAAATAGTGGGTAGCCCAAAGGGTCGGAAAGTTTTTTCTTCCAACAGCCATAAGGATGAAGACCACTGGCTAAATAAATTAAATAATAATTAAAAAAATAAAATCAATACTAACTCCTTTACTTTTTTTATTTGAACTGCTCTGAGAAAATGAAAATTAGCCATGACTTGATGATGTACCTGTTGAGAAATATAGCGGACGGAGACACAAACGTTGACTGCAGTGTTAGAATTCTTTTTGAGCTGTCCTCGAGAAACATACAGCATGTTACGCCTCTGGCGGCTGAGATCTTCTACGACTGTCATGTCAGCAGCTCGACGTAGATCACACTCAATGCTCACTCGTTCACACAAAAACGCTGGTGCTTCGCTCGGAATTTCTAAAAGAAATTTGGAATCTTGAACAAAAATGCAGCATTTCTTTCATCATTCCTCTTGCTAAAATAGTTGCTACATAATTTTGACAAGTACGGATTTTACTAAGAAAGTATGAGTATTCATATTATGCATCAATTTGTGTGCAATGGTTGTCCTCACCTCTTGAGATTCAAATTTTTCATGATGTTACATTATCTTCAATTTTTGGACTTTAAAAGTGTAAAGAGAGATTTGTGAGAGAATATGGGTGAAGTAAAATAATGTTTTTCAATCATTCAACATTATTTTAAATTTTCTACCAGAAATAATTTTAAGGATGGCGTTATTCCGCAGTACAGTACTGTAAAACGTTATTCGGCGGTACAATACCGTTGAATAAAACGTTATTCAGCGGTACGGGACCCTGAATGGAAAATCTTTTAAGTATCACTAAGGTGCCTTTTCGGATAAAATTATAACTGCACTGGGGCCAAAAGTCTTTAATGGTTGCCTACTGGTTGTTCATTTAAAATTTGTTTTCAATTTTATTGTTGTTGAAACTTATTTCATTATTATAGAAAGATTACTATTTTCTAAATAATATTTTTGATTTCTTGCAACTGCATTTCAATTTTTTTTAGAAAATTTTAGCATTAAAAGAAGGGGTAGAGATGCCACTCCACAACCATCTTCATTGACAGTCAGTTTTGCTGCCTAAAAATTTCAATCAGAACTTGCCATTGCTATACTGTCTAGATAATATAGAAATAAACTGGATTTATAGGTAAGATGACTGTTGCTAACCTTGCCCTTTGCCACCCTTTCCAGAATTTTTGGGGCCTCTTGGTTTCTTGGCTGAGTCAGATGATTTTCTAAATTCACTGACAACAATATCAATACGCATCACCTCCATGCCTCCGACTAGAGATAAGTTTGAACCCCAGGACTCCAATGATGTTACACCTCCATTACCGCTACCTGAAAGTAAAATAGGAAACTGTTACCGAACATTATGAAATTTGATACTTTATTGGAAGAAAAGGAAGGATAAGAAGCTGAGAAAGAAAAAATATAGAAAATAACCCATCTAAAGGACTACGTGCAAAACGGGCCATTTGGGGCTCGGGGCGGATACCTTTGAGACTTGCCCTATTCATTAACCTAACAATGCCCCATCTTTTCCCAAAGTTTCAAGCCCCCCAAAAATTTTGGGGAGACGCGGCGGGGGGTCAAAGTTAAAAACCAGCAAAATTTTCGCGAATTTATTACTCGAAAACCAAGAAGTTTTGGAAAATGCGGTTTAAACGAGCGTATTCAGCGTGACGAGAGCTTTCAGAAAATGTATAACATCATAGGGTTTTGTCAACTTCAGCTCGAATTATCGCCTCCGAAGCGCCGGAACGCTCAAAAAAGACCCCTTATTTTTTCACGTTTGGGCCGATTTAAAAAAAAGCCATTTTTTTATTTTCGTGAAAAACTGATAAATTGTTCCTGACTCTCTGTAGCCCCTCTAGCTCTTTACCGCATGCTGGGGAAATGTTTTGGTCGCGAGTTATGAGAGCGGAAAGGAGCGAAGGTCGGGAAAATCGGCTATTTTAAACTGCGCGCGCGGCGTTGATCGGAGGGAAAACGTCCCCTCCCACTCAGTTCGGCGAATCACACTCCTCTGCCGACCTCGCATTGTTGCCACATGTCCCCTAATCCGTCACCGCGCGCAGTTTAAAATAGCCGATTTTCCCGACCTTCGCTCCTTTCCGCTCGCGCGATAATTCGAGCTGAAGTTGACAAAACCCTATGATGTTATACATTTTCTGAAAGCTCTCGTCACGCTGAATACGCTCGTTTAAACCGCATTTTCCAAAACTTCTTGGTTTTCGAGTAATAAATTCGCGAAAATTTTGCTGGTTTTTAACTTTGACCCCCCGCCGCGTCTCCCCAAAATTTTTGGGGGGCTTGAAACTTTGGGAAAAGATGGGGCATTGTTAGGTTAATGAATAGGGCAAGTCTCAAAGGTATCCGCCCCGAGCCCCAAATGGCCCGTTTTGCACGTAGTCCTTTCCCTTTTTTCGAGATCTTGGAAAAGGTTGATAGAACATGGCTTAAATGAAATTTCATGGCAAGAAAAACTGCAAGGAAAAATGTTGGCCTTGAGCTAGAACTTTATTTAGGCTACGAAGTGCTGCTAAATAATGAATTTTTAAATATTGAAACAATAAATTCGTCCCGTTTGATTATGACGGTCGTCCAAAAAGTAACTGCTGTTTCTTCATATCTTCCAAGTGTAAGAGAGTTTGAGATCTCTCTAAGTATCCATCAAGGGACACAAACATCAGGTTTAGACCTCATCCATTAAATCACACTGGTCAGTAAGCCAAGCTTAGCATCCTGCAAAATCCTAAATGACATTTTAACGCCATCATGAACTTGACGGGAGGCAGCGATGTTCACAACAGCGTTTTAATGCTGTTTAGGATTTTGTGGGGTGCTGAGCTGAGCTCACTGACCAGTGTGATGATGTCTAAAAAGACCCAAATCGATATAGATCTCTTCGCATACCCCAATTTTATATTCCTCTGCATCTGCCTGAGCTGAACGCCCTCCTCCCTCAGTCTCGACCTGATAGTCACTAGATTTCATCAAGAAGAGAGTGGATCCAGCACTATCCTACTGTTCCCTTACTCACTGTATTTGGGTCACGTTTTTAATGTTTTTTCTTGTTTGTTGAGATATGTGATTACTTTGAAAAATTAAATTTCATAGCTTTAATCTGATCAAATGGGTTTATATACTTGATTTGATATATATTTTGATTATTAATACCAGAACTAGTGATCATTTGTTGAGGCATAACTCCAAGGCTGGACAATAGAGGTTCAAAGATGAGATGAGCATCTAGTAAACGTAGAGAATCGTGCATTGGATACAAGGAATACCCTCCAGCAGCCAAAAGTGTGTATTCAGGAATTACAGTTGCTGGAACAGGCTCTTGCTGAAAAAAAGAGGTTACATTTTTGAAATTCTTTAGGGTTTACTGCGGAAATAAAAACTGTATGAAAATAAAATTAAATGGAATTCAATTCATTGAGCACTTTCTGATGAAGCAATGGGCAGTGCCAAGGAATTTTTGCAGGACTGTTGTATGGTTTTTCTTGAGTAAAATTTTATGAAAAATCGAAAAGTTAAAAAAATCGTTTCTTAAGGAACCAAAGACCATTGTCCTACCAAAGCAAATCTGAAAGTAGGGCTGTTCTATGCGTTGCCGGTAAGTTACCAAAACAGCTCTGTCAAGAAAAAGTTACCATAAGAGTGCTCTTACCGATAACAATCTGAGTTTTCGGAGCTGATGAAAATAAGCTGTTGCCATTTGTACATCTATTTTACGCGCTGCCGCACCAGGCAATCTGACAAACCGACACACGGGGCAAAAATGCATTGAGTGCGAGCTCTCAAAACTCCGATAAGGCGGGCTGTTAACGATATCATTGCCACTGTCGGTACTACCACCAGTTTTAGTAAGAGACAATACTGATAGCGTTCCCGCAAGAATTTGTTTGAACACCCCTATCTGAGAGCGGGCATGCCTTCATTTCTTGTTCAACCACGTGTCGCCACCCTCTCACTGGGCAGCCCCATTGTCTCCTCCCAGGAGAGACTCAATCTAACATCTTCTTTGGCAGCCTTTCTTCCGTCACACATTCAGTTCACATGACCATACCAGATTAGCTACTTGATCATAACATCGAATACAATGTGAATATGATGTCATTGTCAACTTCCATGATCTGATGTACTCATTATCATTATCATTATTATCTCTTATCGTTTTTTTTCAGTTCACATGCTAAAAATTGGAATAAAATATTTGTAGAGGCAATAATACAGCTTTTTTGGTCCTTTTATGAGCTGCCACAGTTTATACAGAAAATACTTCAGTCTAGAAGGCAACACAATGAATCTCGGTTTTCATGCTGGGGCAAGCATCTTTGCAGGCTGTGAAAAATGAACTTTATTACTGAACCAAAGTTACTGTGAGTCAAGTTTCTATCCCTTTAAAAGGCCCTTAACTGCCTTACCAATTACATTGAGTTAATGATAAGAAACTGAGTTTAAAGGTTTACAAACCACATTTTGATCTTTTGCGGTACGATGTTGCAATGAGTCCTTTTTGTTGGGTTCCGGACTACTGCCTTGCATGAAATCTTGTTGTTTGGCCATCCATGTGTAAAGATCTTCTCCTCCATCTCCTTTCCCTAAAATAGCCAAGTGTTTAGATAATGATGAAGAGATGAAATAGATTGCATTTTGCAAAAAGGCACCAAGAGCATTCAAACGTTGGTAGGATTGTGCAACTAACATTCTCTGCAATAAAATTACTAAAATCATGCAAAAATTAAAGTTACAAAGATAATTTTTGTCTTGAGTTTGAAGTTTATTGGGAGTAAAGATCAAACTTGTTTAGATGATCAGTTATATTTGCAAGGTAAAAAAAGTTGCACAATCTTAGCTACATTAGAATGCTCTTGGTTCATTTTTGCAAAATGCAATCCAACTCACAGTGGATCTGTAGACAGGGCACGAATATTAGGATTCTGATGTAAGTTTCCATTGAAAAATTCCACATTGGACACGATTTAAGCAATGAAAATTACAGATATTAACTCTTAACCAAGCTATTAACGTTTTTATTCAGCACTGATTACAAAAAATTTGGACTTCCCGTTCACAAGAAAAACCAAAGTTTGCGTGAATGAAATCATGCAGTACAACAATTTCAGCAGGCTTCTTGATCCAGCATTGTTCTTTCCCTGCTTTGAGCTGTTATAAATGCAAACGATAAGCAACAGCTGAGCTGAAGTGCCGAGATTGAGGCTGCCATAACTTAATAATGCAGGGACTGTTACAGTGACATTTAAAGTGCAACTTAACTCGAATAAAGTATAACTTTTTTATGAGCAGGAAGTTTGAATTTGTACTTCAAAACAGTTAATATCTTGGTTAGGAGTTACTTTCAATGATTTACGTTGCACAAATCATGTTTTAAGTGAAGTTTTGATGAGAAAACATAAATTAATTCTTGCATCTTGTCTCGTGGTCTATTAGACAAAGAGCAAATTTTCAAAAGAACCCCTTCATTCTTTAGAATGAAAAAAAAATAACAGCATTTGGGTATAAGTTTGAAATTAAACTTTGTTGTATCCAATAAGAGCATCCAAAATTTGTCTCAACTTGAATCCTTCCTTTCATATTTGGTTTTTACCATTCCTGATTAGGTTCTAGTCCATTGCTTCTTATTATAAAAACTATTGAAACTACTATTAGTAAGGAATTAAGACTTAATTTCAGAGGTCAACCTCTTAACTTTTAATCAGGAAAATTATTGAAGAAAATGAAAGCTATCAACTCCAAAAATTCCATTATTTTACGGGAGTACCTTGAAATTAATGAGAGAACTGAAATTGGAAGGTAGGATAATAAATCTTCACTGCCTTCTCAAAAAGGCCTTTTTTGCAGCAGATATCAATTAAACCTCATCCTTTCATCAGGATTTATCCTATAATAGATAAAAAATCGGAATTTTTGGCCACTATAAGATAAGTAAACTCCCTTATTGATGAGTCTGCAAAATGCATAACATGAGAAAAGATTTACCAGAGGCTCCTGAAGTGAGTGGTGAAAACGGACCATGATTATCAAGACTAGTGATGGAATGTTGACTATCCACAGCAATATTCACAACTGAGTGCAGACTTGGGTTGGAACCAACATGAGGTAAGTCTTCCTTCAAGGCTGAATAACCTGTAATTGATGGTTGGCATAAAATACATTTTTTTAACATGGATCTTTCCTCGATGTCCATCAATCTGGAGCAGACATTAGTTGTAGGGTTCTTTTTTAACTTGTAAAGAACACCGAAAATTATGATTTTCACGACCAATTACATGAATATGATAATTAATCCGTGAGAAATTAGAGGCATAAATTTATCCCAATTGTCATTTAATGAATTTTCTGTTTACATTTTAGTTTTTCATGGACATATAAAATAGAGTCTTGTTGTGTGCCTGAGCTATAATGTTCAAAACTCACAGATACTTATAAGGCACAGAACAAGAATCACACAAAGTTTTGATAAACAATTGTTACTTGCTTTCTTTCATGATACCAAGTGTAAGGTAGAAAATTAATACAGACATATATTACCTGATACTCGCTCTCCTTGACGCTGCCGAGACAAAAAGGGATTTGTATTACTTAGCAACGGAAATACAACACTCGCCCTAGTAGATGAGGCTGGCTGAGAAGGTAACAAAGTTTTCTTTTTTTTCAAACTTGTCCCATGTGACTGTGAATAAATAAATAAATCGACAAGAAAAGAATGGGTCATTTTAAATGGAAAAGTGTATGGAATTCATGCACAAAATAATTCAATTTGTAAACTTTCAAGTGTAATATTGATACTGCAAAGGAGTATTCTTGGAAAAGAAATCGTTGCTCTAATATATCTACAGTTTATCTTAAGAAGATACAAAATATTAGGTAAAATTAGAAAAGTTATGGGGCTTATTTTAAGCCGATCTTATTAGGTTCAGATAATGATCAGTTCACTGGCATTCAGTGTGAGAGAAGAATTGATACGCTGTAAAACGTGCATCAGTTGTTAAATTACTGATTTTAGACAGAATTGGTGATTTGGTCAACATGCACTGATTTTCTGATAAATTAGAAAATTTCTCTCACAAAGAGAGAAAAATTGCATTCTGTTAATATTTTTCCTCAAAAAGAAAAAGTGTAAGAGGTATAACTAGTCACAATTGGTTAAGAGAGCAGATGTGGACAAATTTTGGGTCTTAATGGACCCACAATCAACACAGTATAGCCCTCTGACTGTCTCATTCCTACTCTTCATGTTGAATGGTTTTACAACAATTAAAAATCATGAAGGGTGCCGGTGCTTCCAAAATAATCACCGTTTTTGTAAACTATGTAGATCAAGCCAGCAATACCTCCACCTATATTGATACCTCTCCTCTCAAACAGGAAAGGTGTGTGTAATAATTTGCTACTTCAAGCCACAAGCAAGAGCTTCCTAAAATAAAGTGTATTAATTTAAATAGAAAGGTAATAAATGCAAAATTCACCTGCTGAATAATCGATGTGGGAGATCCAAAGAGACTGTCTATGTTGAGAACATCTGTGTTCGGAGGCAAATGAGCTCGAGAAGGTGACTGCACTGCAATTGTTGGGCCATCACCTCCACTTGGATCTGATTTATTCCCAGACAGTCCAGCTAAATTTACAAAAAAGTACATACATACATTATTAGAAAGAGAGAGATATGATAAACGTCATTTATAAGTACACAAAACTAGAAAGACAGGCCAAATTGGGTGAATAAAAACATTTTTATTTGACTCACTTTAAAAAAAAAAGGTCTATCTAGGGCACGCTCCATATAGAAAAATAAAGACGGAGAGCCTATTCGAGGTACTGAACTGTCTACTTCTATTCTAAAAATGAGTGAAACTCAGGTGAATTTTAGGATCTGAGGCGCAGTTTTTCCATTGCACCCTTCATTGGCTTCCTCCCTCAATTCATGTGAGTCTGTTACTTTTACATATTTTGTTCTCAATAACTTTTTGGAATATGCAAAGTTCCATTATGAATGCATCATTTTCAAATTGGCATGAGCGCCATTACAAAAATTTAAGCAATGCAAGAAAGACAGCGATATTCATTGAATTTTAGCAAGAGAAACCTCTTTTAGAAAGAAAGTGCATTTTTCAAAATGGAAATACTGACATGGAAAAAGAACTCTCTTCCTAGTTTTTTTTTGTTGAAGGTGGCACTTACATTAATAGAAAGGGAAAATACTTAATAGCTTTTCATAAGTTTGTTTTCCTCCATGAATACAAGAATTTCTTATTGAAAATTAACTTTAAAAGAAAGGAATATATTCTATCTCTGGCTACAAATTAGACAAAGTTTTATTTTCGACTTTTTAAAGTTCTAACACAAATATCTTCAGCTGCATTAAAAAAATTTACAACAAAGATATTGTTGGTAAAAGGTAGAAGGCCATCTCCTGCATAAGCTTATTTAAAAATGATGAGAAAGCAGAGAAGAGAATGAAATTTCCAGTTCTATAAGTAAAATTAAAGAAAATTATGCAAAGCATGTGCTACAACTACGAGCAAACCTGCCCAGTTACAAAATATTTTCACCACTAAAAGCAAATTTTCAGAAGTGCGTTAGTGCTGCATGTAGGTTTGGTTAAGGTTAAGATTAGATGGAAAAAATGCATCAAAGCATGCTAAAGTGATTAGCAATTAAAAGCAATGACTAAGTTTCCCCAAATGCATGCTTAGAATTTTCAGAAAGATAAACAAAAAATTGAAAAATTAAGATGTTTGACACATCTGCTGTTCTAGATTGATTGACACAAATAAAAAAGAGGAAAAAATTGATTGAAGTTTCTGACACGGAAACTCCTTTAAAGTTCTCAGAGTTGTAAATGAATGGATGCTTGATCCATTTGATGTTTTTTTTTTCTTTTTTTCAATTTAGTAACTACACTTCATGGTACCTTACTTAAAAATTAGACACAGATTGAACAAAAAATCAAACTTAAAAAGTGAATAGAAAGGAAGAAGTTGTATTTCTTAGCGATATTTTAAATAGTTTAATTGGTTATTAGAATTAATAAAACTTAAAACGATTCATGCCAAATAACAGACAAAAATCTAAGCAAATCCTCTTTCTCCCCTCCCTGCCTCTTCAAGTGTTAGAATCCTAATTTAAGCCCAGAAATGAAAAGTATGAAAAAAAATATGCAGAATTATTTATGATACTTTCACAAACAGCAAAACCATGGCCAGATTTGGCCACAAAAAAGGAGATGAAATGATTGATTTTTCAGAACTTCCAAAGGCAACAACTCCAATGGGGGTAGTTTTCAGAAGAATTACAACGACAAAAAAATCTTCAGACCCAGGAAATCAAACGTTAAACCAACTGTCTAATGTTAGTTCCTGAAACACCCTGTACGTCATGCAATGTATTTCTGGAAACTATAGATCTACTAATAATCAAATTTCAATCACTACACTTAGAAATAAATTTTGAAGAAGATAGAATATCGAAGAAGAGAGTTAGGATGAATAACCTGATCATAAATTGACAAAAAAACATTTCATTACATAATTTTGGAATAAATGACCATTCCCCCCCTCCCCTCGACTAAACAGGTTTTAAAACAAAAATGGAAGACAGGGTGTTGATAATTTTATCAATGTATCAAAATTCAATCTACATAAAACTGAAATCCTCATTTTCCAAAGAAAAAAAACTTATTTGAGCACAATTTTCCCTCAAAAATGCTATTCGGTACAATATTAGTTACGACCAATTAGATAAGAAAACTGCAGACGCAATTTGGGTCGGGCTAGACCCATCATCGGTGCAGCGCAGCCTCCTGACTTTCTGCTCCCAAGCTAAGAGACGTCATTAAAAGGAAACCGGAGTTTAGGAAAGACTCGTGCATCTAACCTTAATTTATTCATGGAGAAATAGTGTGAACATAAGGGCACATGACATCAAACGGCAGAATTTTTGGATGGAAAAACAGAGAATTGACAAAATGAAAACCATCCAAAGTTGTATCTTGTGAAGTTTTGCATGCCTAACACCAGTTATTGGCAAAAAATTGTTCAATATTCTTGATAAATATAAACACAGAAGTGATGAGAACAAAGGTTTCATATTGAAAAGCAACTTACAACGTTCAATTGGAAACCAAGTCATCAGTAAAACAAAAATCCAGCATAAATTTTTTTTTACAAAATCATTATTATTATTTTTTTATGACTTTAAACGTTCTATTAACAAATAAAGCCCAGCTATTCACTGGTTGGGAGATCTCCGAATTTAATCAGTTAGCAGGTTAATTATGATTACTTTTCGGTTTAATTTGTTGATTTTATATTTATTTTACAGAATAAGATCTTAGTCTGTGTTTCTTCTGCATGTTTTCTCTTGTTTCATTTCTATTTTTAAAAAAAATGAACTGGGTGAGGTTGCTTTTATCCCCCTCTTCCTTCATTAATAGCCTTTGTTCCCACCATCCCTATGTTTCTGCCTTTGTACATGATGTTGTTGTGCTACCATTCAATTGTTTTATACTGAAGAACTGTTCAATGACAACAGTCTTGATAAATTTATAGGACTTTCAGTTAAAACTTTAAGAGGAGGCCTCCAAGTCATAAATACAAAAAAACCTAGAAATGATATAATGTGAACTGTCTCACACCATTCTTCAAATCTGCTATCTTTTGGCTTCAAATAATATATCCATGTTTCAAGTTTTTGATGTATGATTACACGAGTGCCCAAGGATGGTTAAGGCCTCCGCTTTGAAATAAAAAAAAATTCAAAATAATCCATTTCAAAATAAAAGGGCTCTCAGACAGGGCTCCTCCAGACACTTCAGAGTTATTTGAAAATTTTGAGCTCTACATCTTCATGATTTTGAAATTGAAATTAAAGAAATTACAAAGGTCATTTGTAAACAAAAGAGACTGCAGTCAAATTATTGAAAAAATTAGTGTAAAAAATTCTAGAATGAACAAAAAATAAAAAATACGACAGTGATTCAAACAGTCATGCTTGCTAAAAATTATAAAATGAGGTTACCATGGTTACCATATTTGGCCTGGCAAGAGGGTTTGCTAAGCAAAGTGGAGGGGTGGAGAAGCATGGCACACTCATCGGTGACCTCTGGTTCAACTTCCTCACCAGAGCATTCTCCGTCAGTCAGAACGTTTTCCTGCCACGCAGCCATTAAAATAATTGCAGATATTATACAAAGTGTTTGTTTGCAACAACATTTTAAAAGTGAGATGGTGCCTTCTATAATCTGGCACCCGAAAACGAAAGAGAAATGAAAAGGAAGAAGGAAACCTGGGTATAAATACACTCTCAGTTCAAAAGCAAATCAATCAAAATCAAATAAATTGATAAAACAGAGGCATGACCTATTTAACCGTGAACAAATAATCACCTAACATTAAAAAATAGAATTTTTTAAATCCCAGGACGAAAATTCCATCACTTCCATAAAAGAATTTTGCAGCATGAATTAAGATGAGGGCAAGGAGTGAAATGAAAAAAAGGGCTCACTGGTTGCACAAATTGCAACAGCTGAGAAACTAGTTGTTGGCCGATTGTGGACTATGTTCTATAGACAGGCAGTTTAGGAGGGTGACGGTCACAGGAGACTCCGCAGTGCCAAAAATTAAGATGTCATGGGATGTGTTCACTAAAAACAACCTGTCACAAAATTCCTCAAGTATTGAAACCTTTACTTCTCTTAAAAATCCATTTTTGTAACTTAACCGTTTATTGTCAAAAGTTATTAATAGAAAAGTTTCAAACAGTGCACACTTTTTAAATTATAATTTTTTCTACCACCAAACCCTATTTCCTCCCTTCTTCCGAAAAAAAATAAATAAACAGTGTGTGGCAATAGTCAATTTTTTTGTATTTGAAAATACCCTCCTCTCCAAGACAGGGACAAAACAAAGCATGAAATAGGGTGTACCATTTTCAGACTTCTCCTTCATAAATTAAGGGTAAAAAAATCACCTATACCTTGCTCCAAACTTTTCAGGCTTCATTTTCATCACCTAAATTATAACAGAATATTGAAGAAGCGGAAAAATCATGTTTTTGGCTGTAGTTTGGCAAAAAAGGCAATCATCACATAAAAAATTTAAGGATCAACTTGTCACTAATGCAGATCTTATGCTCTTGTAAATATTTTCTAGAAGAGTCAAAATACTGCCTAATATTACATTTCTCTGCTAACTTGTTTGAGCCAATTCTAAGAAAAGCTTTTCTACAGAATCATAATTTATGCGTTTTTAAGGAACTTCAATAATTATTTCTTTAATGGTGAGGTCATGAGTAGGTATGTATGTACGATTTGTGATTTGTTACTTGTGCAGAATGGGATTTGATGAGAGATCATGCTTCAGTATACAATGACTCCACCATCCCTTATTGAAGTTGAGTCCCAAGTGGTGGCGGACCAAAGACGAAGGAGGAGAACATGAAGTATTAACAAGTAAAAGCTACACTTGAAGGAAAGAGCTATTTGTATTGAATTGATACAGACTTGCAACATCAGATAGCACGGCTTATATTTTGAACAGAATCTGTCTTCAATAATCCTGAGCAAAATTTGGTCATGCCTTTTAAACTCTGGGTCTATTTTAAAACTGATTAAGGCTCATTTGATTACTGACTGATTAATACTCCAAAATATGATGGATACAAAAGACAAAAAGGTGAACTTCTCATTAGAAACAATCTGATGAAATTCAATCCAAGTTTAAAATCAGCCTTTGAGAGACTTTAGATTTCAAAATTACTTAAGAACTCCCAAGACTCTTTCCTTGAGCAAGGGACACTATAACTGTTTGCCTTCTTCCTCATTTAAACTATCAAACAGCTGTGAGTTGAAATCTGATACAGGATAATTTAAATTAAAAAAATGACAATACTTAATACTTCATATTTGCCTCTAAGCAATGAATCATGTATAGCCCCGTGATGCAAGAAGGGAAGTAGAGAACTTTGAGCGGAGGACGATAGTACAAAAGCAACGTTACTCGACCGTAAAGGATGATATTTAACAAAGTTTCTTACTTAACAGGGGATTATTTCTCCATGATGCCTTTGTTTTGTGAATCATACAATGCGCACAATGGCCCAACTTCCTAGCAACCTTCAAGTTAAATCGAATTTAAAATTATCATTTGATGAAGTTTTGTTAGAAGTATAAAAAATTTAACATTCAAATGTTAAGACAGAATTTGCAAACAAAAGATTGATGCAAAATCTACCTCCCCAGAAGAAATAAAAACAGATCAAATTAAATCAAAAAATTAAACTCACACAAGTCATTAATTACTCATGACCGGACCAAATTTTAAACAAATCATACTTAATCCCGAAGATTTCCATTGATAAGAATATAGACATAAATTCTAAATTCAATTATCTTTTGAGTACATCAAAATTTTAAGATTATTTTTAGTTGCGCCTTTTTTTTCACCGCTTCCTGGGGCAGAAAAGAGCAATCACAATCCCAAGTGGACAATTCTTTGATAAAGATGATCCAATTCAAAATATTGCAATATCTTTGAAATTGTTGAGTTTCTTGCTACCCCTGTCCAAGTTTATCCACATCCCTTTCGAAAAAAGTCCCTGCCCCACATTTATTCATTTTAATTCATGAGTTAATTCTATCAATATTCTCTCATTCCAATTAGTAAAATTATAAAGAGAGGAGACAAGATTTAGGGAGATAAGTCATTCGAGGTTTCATTTTTCAAACAAAAGGGGGCATTCCAGTTGTTGCTGATAAAATGCATGGATTACATAGATCTCAGTTATGATTTTAAAGGTTCATAAGAGAACAAATAAGGCATCATACCTCCTCAGGATCAGGCACAGCGAACGTATAGTTCATTCTTTTGGCAGCATGATGCTTGCTCTTGAAATTGTGCTCCAGCAGGAGTGGAGTGTAGAGAATGTTCTTCCATTGGCGACTTAACACGATGACACCCTAAAAATAAACCAGATTCATTGGAGAACAAATGATGAAATCTTTCATTAGTATTATAGAGTACCTTAAAATAGCGCAATTTGGTAATTATTGATGAAATAGAGGTACAATGGAATCCTGATTATCCGCGCTTCAATTATTAAGGCTTCTGTCATCTGTGATTTGGATTATCTATGGTTTCTTTTCAGTGGATCTTCTCTTTATCTTTATTTTTTTTTATTTTATTTTTTTTTTTCTTGAGACAACGCAGTGGAGTGAATATTCAATGGACATTTCTGAAGATGAAGATGAAGATGGAAGAAAATCCGGTCTTGAAGGACAACTCAAAAATTCCTCATTCTGAATGATTACAACCTTAATAGAGTCTTTTACAAGCTTTTTTGATCACTTTTCCAAATAGCTTACTTTATGATTATTTGCGATTTTTGATCAAGAGTGGTAGCTGCGGTTTCTATCACTAAGGATAATCAAGGCTCTACTGTGGTTCAAAAATTTTAATTAACTTGGATAATAATGAGAGCTTTCTTTGACCACGTATATTGATAGTTTTCTTGTTGAACAAAGTATCTATTGGACTAAAAACAGTTAGAAGAACAGTTTAACTTTTTCCTGAGCATTAAAAAAGGAGAACTTAATTAACTGGTCTGCAGAAAGAAAGTGAGTGGAAGTTATGTAATTCAGTTTTTAAAAAATCTAAATCCACTTTTTTAAATGAAACATCAAAGTTGAAAAGTAGCGTGAATTGTGTACCTGACGAAGAGTTGATAGATGAGGTAGTTCGGGATCCTTCAAGTTGGCCTCAACTTGTTTGATGTCCGACTGGAGTACATATCTTTGCAATATTATGCAGAGTTGACAGGAAGGATCTTCTTGCAATGCCTTAGCAAGGGGTGTTGTGCGACCATAACGACTCTGAAGTAAAGTACAAATAAATTGCAAGTAAAGAACGGATTTTGGATTTTTTGGTAACAATGATTGGTTGAAATTTTCCTAACATTCTGATTTTGATAGAAAAATTTCAGAATTTTACTGGCAACCTCAACTTTTAAAATCAGGACCCTCCTTTTACCCCCAATGATGCTGGGGGGGCTTCAGGACCATGAAATACAGATTCCGTATTCGTTCGCGCAGTTCTCAGCCCTGTCTGACTTGAAATAATTGAGAAAAAAGCCTAGTGCGGGTTATCTGGATCATCCTGTGCAAAGCCATTGTGTAGATAAAATTACATGTAGCTCTGAGACAGACTTTTAAGTTTGGAAAATTTCAGGGAATTGATTTCTATGTGTTAAAACTTAATAATAGAACTTTGAAACTATGATTTCTTTGCCTGCGAAGTTTGATTTATCTGACTCACCTTTGGTAACATATGCATGCTTTGAACATCCAGTGCTTCGGCCATTAAACATGTTACTACTGCGGTACATCTTCGGTAACGGCACCTTAACATGTGCACAGTGCGTATAGCAAATCTATTACTGGGATTCATCCACGCATTGATTGCAGGAGATGCAGTGCTTAGTAAATTCCAGTCCAATCTGAGAAAAACATTAAGAACATAGAGAACTTCACAATGAAACTTAATCTCATGATATTAGTTTAAGAGTATGATGATAAGAACTAGCGAGACACCAAAGGTATCAGATGACCGAATTACATCATGATGAATGTTCCAAAATCTGGAAGATACAATGCGATTCTGGCAAATCACACTGAAATGAATTAGTAAAAACGAACACACACACCAGCCTAGGTTCCATCGATTTTTACTTTTTTGCTTAAGTGTTGCTTGACAAAAGAAAAATTTCAAAATTGCAGTACAAAGTGCTTGAAACAGCGCCAGCGGCGCAAAAGGGCGGTAAGACCCCAATTCAACGGGCGTTCTAAAGGGGGGGGGGGGTTAGCCCATGAGACATTATAAGTTTTGTCATCTTACAAAACAATTGGTAATACTATTATAAAAAATGTTAGCCCAATAAAGTCTTAAATAGAAGGGAACATTTCAATATTTTCATTGAAATCCGCTTTGAGGCGATGTTAAAAATTGACTACCCATCCGATTTTGATGATTTTACTTTTCTATTACATGTATGAACTTCCCACAGGCAAATTTCACCAAAACATCCAAATTAATTTTCTTCTTTTCCGAGAGAGTTACAGGCCAAAAAATACAGATATTTCATAGCCAAACACAATAAACTAATACCTGACAGTTAGTGAGAATGGGAACACACCAACTTTGCAACATTAAAATGCCCCATTTTCAGTCATTATGAATGGCGCAGCTATTTCAACTTGGGCCTTGAAAGTGTTCTTGAATACTTATCTTTTGGCACCAAAAAAAATTCCTTGTACTAACTTCTTCACCTATTGTGCAGTTTTTGTGTCTCATGAACAGTTTCATGTTTGCGAGTTAGTGTGTTTTTATTCTCTTTGATTCAAATAACAAAACTGGTGATAGAAGAGTCAATTTGCCTAAGACAGGACAGTAAAAGTAGACCAAGAGAGAATATTTTCAGATTTCCTGGTGAGCCTAAAAGAATTTCATGATAAATTTATTACGAATGAAAAATTAAAAATACCTTGTGTAATCAATTTTTCTGGTGATAGGTGTCCGTGGAGGAGCAGCAAAATTAAACCAAACAGTTCGAACATCAACCACACATGATGATGCATTTTCATCCATATTTTTTGAGACAGCAACTTGACTGAAAAATATAAGAACATCAAAGTTGTATGTTAAATAAAACTGATAATTAACTAAGACTTAGATCAATGATCATAATTCTGTTCAGACATGCCAAACTTTATTTACTGCCAAATTTTCGGTAAAATGTTCACTGAAATTGTAGAGCCTACTTGACAGCAGTGGTGGTGAGCCATGCTTACCTTTGAGGTGCCTCCTTGGGGCCTGGGCGCAGCCATTTTTGGCCAGTGTGAAACATTTAGTACCTGAAGTTGGACCATGCTCCTGTACTCAATCTCATGATATGTATCATATTTCTGCAATGCTCAGCAGCCATTTATTCAGACAATGATAGGTTGTGCCAACAATTATTATGGTAGATGCTACCAAACATGGAAATGCGGAGCAAAGTCATGCCCCTACCGAGTTGGGCTTTGTTGTTTCAATGTCCCACTGATAGGTGACCTTGGCAGTCACGTACAATAGAAGTGATTTATGATTTGATCGCAACGCAGCCAAACAGTGAGGACTGACTACTACCAGATGGCTCATATCTATGGAATAGAGTAGAAAATACTTTTTGACTAGCCTTTAAAATTAATCTTTAATTGAAAGGTTCCATTACCTGTTCATGGTCTCGCTACAAGTTGCATCATTGCCTGCATCCATACTATTTGTGTGTTTGGCTCCACCAATTGGAGTCGAAGTCACTGGTTCAGATTGAGCTATGTAAGAAACACATCAAGATAAGATTAAGCAAAGATATAACTGTTTAAAAAACTAATCTCCTTTTTTCAGATTTGACTAATTGTTACACTGGAGGTAAATAGAAACAATGGAAAATAGTAACTTTCTGGGAACAGTTGGGTTTTGAGAAAAATGAGGTGGTAATAAAGACCTCTCTGAAATTTCTCAGAATTCCTGTTTACTTTGGCAAATTGAGCTGACAAAAGAAGCTACACAGTTGTAACCGAAATATTATGATGACATTTTACATGTAGATAGTAGAGAAGATTTTCGGAAAAATGGTTTCATTTTTCCAAATAAGGCTATGGAAACCCCCAAAGAAAGCAATGAAAAATTGGAGTTCTCACACACAAAATTCAAACAGAGAAGCTCAGTGGTTACATTTAGCAACAGACAATGAATATCAAGCATGGAAAATATTTCTACCGAAGCGAGTGGTGAGGGTATAGTTGGAACGCTCGTTTCATCGTCATGATCCAAGCTCAAGTCCCTACCATTTGATTAATCTTCAATATTGGTTCTATTCCTTTTAATTAAGTTGTTCTTTGCGCACTTCATTGGCTGTTTGCGGCCTACCTGTTGTAGATACCACCAAACTAACAAAATTTTTGGCCAAAAGGCCACAATTTAAACGTTTATTTTGGAATCTGACCGATCACCTGTTCCATTTCTCACATTAAAGCATTTGCCTTTCATGGCACTTGACTACTTCTAAAAATTCTTAAATTTTTTTTAAAAAACGACCACATATTTTAACCGCTTGTAGCACACTTTAAGCCTAGGAGAGCTTCAAATTTCTCAAATTTTCAAGATGAGGGACACTCTACAGCAAGTATTCTAACGGTAAAGCAACCCAAAAAAAATTCTTTAGCTAATTGAGTGATAAGAATGTTTAGTAATAGTATCAAAAAGAAAAAACTCACAACTCGCGGTTTTGTTTTCTGATGGATTATTGGCTTCTGCATCTTCTTTTGATCGAACTGAGTCTGTATTTTGATTAGCAGGTGACTTTTCACATTCTTCTACTGATTTAACATTTTCATCATCATCTTTTTCGAACTTGGACCTTTTCACAACCTGCAATATCAAAGTTTGGTGAGATAGATCTTTTTTTTTGAAGATATACGATGATGGCAAAAGCCATTTAAAAATTATACAAACAAGGGGCCTATGTAGAGGGCAAGACCAATCCTTTCAAGTCATGTATTCCCATGGACACATTTTAAGACCCTACTGCACATGAGAGGCAAGAAAAAATGTGATACATTTTTTGTGGGAGAGGATAGTTCTAAATCTTACTGGCTGCTGTTGAGTGAGGGCCAGGCAGGAGGATGAATTTTAAAAATATGCATAATACATAGAAGCAAGAATAAGACAATTATTCTTTTCAATTTTGCTGACTACATTTTCCATCTATATATTCTTGCTCTCACCGAAAAAATGAATGAAAATTTGAACTTTTTTCTAATGAATGACACAGGAAAAAATTTCACACTAAGTTGGATCTAAAAGTTATTCTTCGATTCACATACTTTCAACCAATAAAAAACTAACGCAAGTTCTTGAAATATCATGCCTTGAGGAGAAGAGGATGTTAAAGAAAAGTGAGGTGAAGTAACATTTTTAATATGTTTTCAATTTTCTGTTTAGTTATGACTCTTCGTTATAAATAATTTTAATTGAATTAATTGATTGAAAAGGTAGGAAGGTTATAACCTTTTTAGTCCAAAAAATAGCTTTTAACTAATTTGCGTATTGAGATGTTGTGTTTTGAGGAAATTAGGTACTTTAAAAACTTCAAAGTGAAATAACATTTTTCAGATGCTTAAAGGAACTCACTTTTAAAGAAACACCTTCCAAACCAAACTCCATCATAATGAAACCCATTTTTTCTTCAGATAAACTGACAAGTGTAGTGTCCTCTTCCATTGGAAAACAGTCCTGGAACTTGTAAAAATTGATACATAAGAACAGATTCTGTCTAAATTTCAAAAGCAAAGGAGTACTGCTGAAAATGCGAGCTGGAAGAAATAGCTCTTGAAAAAATGAAAATCTGCGAAAGATTGACCATTGACGGACCAAGACGAAAAATTTTATTACACAATATTCTTTCAGAAGAGTTGTCTTGTTTTGCAACTACTGATCGGTTTTATTTTCAAAAAGAGTGCTCAGAAATGCATTGTATTGTTAGGTAAACCTGTGACAAATGGATGTGACTCATAAAGCTAGTATTGATAAAAAAAAAAATGTCAATGAAAAGCTACTCATCATAAGATTCAAATCTTGCCAGAAAAATTCAATTCAGATAAGAGAAATTACTTAGAATAACTTAAGGAAAATTGTTTACCCCATTGCTTGCATCAGTGCTTTGTTCTGAGGTCGGTTTTGCAGCAGATGGTGCTTTGGCACAAGTTGTGAACATGACTTTGGAGCAGTGAGATGGAATTGCAGTTATGACAGCATCTTTCAGGATGGAACACTCATTGCGTAGACGTCTTAATTGGGCATGACTTTGATCTATAGGGTAACATTAATTCAATTACATCAGTTTGATAAAGTCGAATAAAATTACAAAATTATGCATCTTGATGCTTCATTTTTTCAGTGAAAATTGAACTTGGCTTGATTTTAGGATTCCTATCTCTTTTGTTACATGAAAAATTTCAGAGATCCAAATATCTTCTAAAAATTGACTGTGGGTAGAAGAGAAAATATCATTTCTTGGTTGGAAATCTGGATGTCTTACTTTTTTTCGTAATATATGAAATCATGATAGAATAAAGATATACAACAGGCCATTGCTTTGATTGATCTTGCATTCCTTTAAATGAATAAATATTAAGGTTCTGCTTTAATGAATATTTAAAATTGCATTTGGTCTGCAAAAATTATCTCTTAAAATTGAATTTTGGCTAAAATTGTTGTAATGAGTCACATAATATGTGTAATTTCATTTATTCAATAGCTTTCACCAACTTTTTCTGGAATATTAGAGCTCCAAAATGCAAAATAATGAGGGAGAGTAATATCTGAGCTGCAGTGGCGTGGCGTCCATAGGTTCGCAGTGTTCGCCGAACACCCTAAAATATTTTGAAACAATTAATAAATTATGGCTAAGAATGTGGGAAGCAATACAGAATTGTGAATAGTAGATCGCAAATAAGTATCGGGCGCTTGGCTTCCGACATCGGCATGTGGCGCGGCGGAGAGAGAAAATCCTGTGACGCGTGGTCCGCACCGGCTACCGAACCTGGATGATCTGCGTACGGTGAGGAGAGAGAACCTGGGTGCAATGATGAAGGGGCAAAGGGTACACGAGAGAAGAGAGGCACCGGCGCGCGGCGCAGAGCGGAGCGTGAGCATTGGGTTCGGAGACGAGTGCGGACCGCGCTCGCGGAGGGAACACAGCAAAGAGAAAAGGGAGGGGAAAAGAACGAGAGAGGAGAGCTGCTCATCAGTCCAGCTGTTTCCTATAGCAGTGGTCTGCAGGGGTTTGCGAACCGCCGAATTTCCTCTATGCCGCGATTCGCTCTCCGCTTCCCCCCTGCGCCTGCGGGCCGCATCTCCCAGTTTCCCAGTCTCCCTCTCCCACCTCTCTCTGCAGGTGCGTGTTGCGAAAATACGTTATCATTTAACAAAATAAATTACAGGGAAACGATCAGTAAAAGGAACAAAATTTCAATGACAATTTACCGGCACAATTTTCACCAGAAAGGGTTAAAATCGTGTTCTTGCGGCTTCATTTTTTAAAAAGTTTCTGGGGGAGGCCCCCCGAACCCCCCTTTAAGGAAGGGGAGTGAACCTTTCTGAGCCCCACCCCCTCCGTCCTAAAGTTAACACTCCTACCGAACGCCTACCGGATATAGTCACGCCACGCCACTGCTGAGCTGATAAGTAAACTTAGTTCATAAAGACAAAGAACCTGAGACTTTGCTGCATTGACACAATTGAAAGAGGAATAACGTATTTCAGAGTTGAGAGTTTGCATGATACATACCTTTTCTCCGATTGGTGGGCATGCAGTAACATTGGTGGTCTCAGCAAATGTAAGTTTCCTCATAAAACCTCTGATTAATTTGCAAAGTTTTGGCATTTTTTAAAGTTAAGATTATGCCTGATACATATAGTCCAGGCATTATAGGAAAAATAGAAAAAAAAATTTATATATAAGGTTTCATGTGCCCAAGTTGTTCATTGGGGTGCCAGGGACTCCCAGCAAAAAGTCCCCAAGAATCCCCTGTACGCTCGACCCCCCGCCCCCCCAAAACCCCCAAAAAATCGACCTTTCCTCGGTTTTTCGTAAATATCTCAAAAAGAATTGGTTTTAGCGAAAAATGAGTTATCTAGTGAATAAAAGTTCATAAAATTTCCAATAAAAATGACCTCTATAAATTTTTTTGTAAAACGACTTTGAACCCCTCAAAATGGCCGCCGAAAAAACGGGCATTTACGGAAATTTCAGTTTTTTCCCGAAAATGCCCATTTTTCTTTGAAACGGCTGCTCTCATGTAAAAGTTAATGGTGGATTCTGAAAGAGCGTTGAATTTCACATCAGAAATGATTAACATCGATCATTTTAGACTCACAGTCGATCTACGGAAATACGATATATCGAAGCTCTTCCGCCCGGGCCTAACAAATCAAGTACT